TTTGACCATTTGACCTTGACCTTGGAGTTTGACCAACTTTTAAACAACTTTAGCCTTGACAATAACTTTTGAATGAATAGTACTAGGGCTTTTATATTACATAGGTAATTTTCTTGTGACAAGGCCTGTCATTGTATACCTTTAATTTTGACCATTTTACCTTGACCTTTGATTATTTCCTACTTTTGAAAAACTTTAACCTTGGTTTTAACTTTTGAACAGTTGGTGCTAAGGCTTTTTTAATACCACATGTGTATTCCTTGTAACAATTAAGACCTTCCCTCAAGTACAAACAATTATGTTCCCTTGACCTTGGAGTTTGACCTTTTAAAGAAATTAACCTTGGCCATAACTTTTAAACTGTTGCTGCTGTGGCTTTCATACAAGTAAATATTTCACAGTATATTCTTTGTTCAAGACCTTTATTTGGGTAATAACATTTTTTTTGTCTTTTGATCTTGACCATGGAGTTTGACTTGCATTTGAGAAACTTTTAACTTTTGCCATAAAATGCCATATGGGGGCATCAGTGTTTCAAAAATCACATGTTGTTCAGTATCCAAATTGGGCATAAAACATTTACAATGATCCTTTAAAGCAGTGAGTTGAACCTAATAAATTACGACTATAGAAATTATGATAATTTATTTCGATGTATGGTCTAAAAAAACGTTTATTATACCTCTGTGAAAACTAGCTTACAAGTGAAAAATCACTAGTAAAATAGAATTTGATTGGCCGAGAAAGTCACGTGTCCATCATGTTTGCCCTGCAACAAAACGTCGTGTTTCACGATTGTGACGTCACAATTAAACGAGTGAGGAGTTAGATTGTTTATAGCGACGCTGCTAACTTCGTTCGCGCGGTAACAACAACTTAAAATTCACCCCAAAAAATCACCTTAATTAATGGAATTGCATACAGATATTAGATTAAACGTTCTTTATTAAAATGTTTGCACTTTTCAAAATTCGTTTATGGAAATACAGCTAACATACGTCATGAGACGTCACAGTCTAGACGTTCCAAATGTCTCGTGCTGTTTGAAGAGGCGGATCTTAAAATTAAGTGAACAATGCACTCGCCCAACGGTCGCACCGTCAGCATATTATCGTTGATTGATTGTGTCGATTTAAATGTGTAAAAATGTAATGGTGTTTGAATGTTCCTGGTGTGATCACACAAACTTGTCACGTAGGATTTTTTTTTAATGAAACGAGGCTATTGGTGTACCTGTAACTTACATCTCTTTCATATCGTTCTCATCAAATGCATGTTTGCTTTATTCATTGGATCTCCTTTGTAATTCCTGCATTTTGGTTAATTCGGTATTAAAAACAATTTATTGCATAATAGTGAGGGAGACATAAAGATTTCTTCGCAAATGAAAAATCATATTTCTCTCTGGCGTTGCCTTCGGGGAGTATGATTTTTCATGGGCGAAGAAATCTTCAAGTTGCCCTCGGGGAATATGATTTTTTATAGGCGAAGAAATCTTCATGCCTCCCTCACTATCATGCAATAAATGCAAACTGTGAACTTGTCAACTGCGAAACACACAAAAGGGTATCGCTGATATCATACAGAGTGTATCATTGCCTTGATCAGGCCCATAGGAAGCAAATTCAGGGGGTTTTTTTTTGGGGGGGGGGGGGCACAGCCATACATTTTCAGTTGACAGTTGAGGGGGCACTACTACCATAAATTTCCTGACAAGCAAAAAAAAGGTTACCAACTACCAAAAATTCCTTGACAAGCAAAAAAAAAAAAAAAAAAGAAGGTTATCAGACGTTTCTATTGAGGTGGCACAAGCTATAGTAACTATGTCTACTATAGTAATCTATATATCGGCAAAATTATTGGGGGGCACGCCCCCCCCCCCTCCCTCGGTTCCTACGGCCATGTTGATTAAATTTAGGGTCACTAAGGAAAGAATGTTTTGACTGGATGAATGGTCTGAAAGAACATGTGTTAACTTGTCGAGTCGGTAACACATAGATGGGGTTTGCTTATAACCAGAGTGTGTCATGGTTTGATGCAAGGTCATTTGAACGAGTTCAAGGTCATCAACGGAGAAACAACATTCCTTAACTGTCTTTCTACTGGTGAGACATTGCAAGTTGATACCCCTTACAAGATTGCTTATAACCTTAGAATGTGGCATGACCTTGACTCAAGGTCACTTTTTCCTGTTCGCAGCTCCAACGGAAGACCTACTCGTTGCTTTGCAACGAGCTCTGCTCTAGTTTTATAGACTGTGTTTGTAGGTGAATCCCAAGCCCTTTCGGCGTCTTTGAGAAGTTAATTGAGCTTGGGTAATATCATTGCTAAATCTACACGATTCTGCGTAAATGTACAGAATGTTATTTATATCGAAACGTAACATAACTTTTAAATTTGAAAAAGATAACTAAATTACAATGAATAACAAACACACTGAAAAATTCAAACTAAGGAATTAAAAAAATGTTTTAATGATATTTTGTAGTTAAAATGTATTTAACAGGAAACAATCCAATTAACAACACGATTGACCGAATCTGTCGTAATTCGTGCATCTGTAACATCACTACGTTAGTTTAGATACACAAAGCTCTTTAAACAAAATAATTTTAATGTACATTCTTCCTGAATGAAATAAGAAAAAAATAATCCGCATTTAATTTTTTTACCGTATATCGGATGTCGACTTTATACGGTTCGAAGTTTATAGGGCGCATTTCGTATCCTGTTCTGACGAAAAGGCAAGTTACACGCGAATGCAACTCAATGCTGTAACTTTGTGCTGAAACTTTGTGAATTTAGAAAGATTTCGATAAAGAACACGTTTTATAAATAAGATTTTTAAAATAACTTCATAGATTTTTTTATAAAAATAGAGGGAATTCTGAAATATGTTGAGCTACAGTCTATATTAAAGTCATGTACATATAATAAGCTTGTCTGTTTTTCTATGCAATGAAATCTTGGACGTCAAGTCTCAACTCTGATATCTCGACACCTCGGATATCTCGACATTTTCCGATGGTCCCGTCGATGTCGAGATAACGAAGTTTACCTGTATATATATATATATATATATATATATATATATATATATATATATATATATATATATATATATATATATATATATATAAAGCACTAAAAATGACCAACGACACGAACAATAGAAATATATATATATATATATATATATATATATATATATATATATATATATATATATATATATATATATATATATATATATATATATATATATATTAGGGATGTCAACGATCGAACGTCCGAGTATCGAATACTAAAAATGGTACTCGGTTATTCGGAAGTGTATTTTTTCTTAAAATTTCAAAGTACATATTTTTATCAAAAACTTCAAAAAATAACTTAAACATGAATACGGTAAACTGGTAAATAGCGTGTCGTCACCTACACCTGTGAAACAACCGTTTTCGCCTTTGGCTGTGTATATACAGTAATTAGTGACCAATCACCTGGTACACAGCTGTTCTCACCTATTGTGGTCCTTAATTTTTGGATGGCTTTAATGAAAGTCAGTTTCCGTTGAAGGTTAAGTGTATACAGAGGAAACAACCAACATATGGAATAATATTAGACAAGCGATCCCAACAACGTCCGTTCCTTCCCTTTCGCTGGTCAAAACCGCGTAACAGATTGTCCTCCTTTTGCGTTGGTGAAATAGATCCTAAACAAGAACTGTAAACCATTTGTAATTTTTGATGTATTAATTTTGTCTTTTGTGTTTATTTTATAAATAAATTTAGTACAAAAAAATCATTTCCCTTGGACTCGATTGTTTATATACATTTATAAACGTGATAAAAACAGCTTTGGGGTTTAACAGAGCTTAATGGGGCTCAAGAAAATTAACATTAACGGGGCTCAAAATTAACACACTTGTATATTCATTTTTACCGAGTACCCGGGTACTCGATCGGAAAAACATCCGAGTAACCGATTATCAAAAACTGACCGATTTGACATCCCTAATATATATATATATATATATATATATATATATATATATATATATATATATATATATATATATATATATATATATATATATATATATATATATATATATATATATATATATATATATATATATATATAATATTATTTAGCCTATTTCAGATAAATACAAATACCTTTGTTAGTTCGAACTCATAAGGAAGTACATTTCATAGACAATAAAAAACTTTTAAAAATTTAACATATATGTAGTTCCTCAAAAGGAGAAATTCGGTTGAGTTATATTTAATCAGCGACCACAGTCACATTTACAACGATCAATCAGAATGGTGATCGAGGGTTTACTGAGGGATGGGGACTTTCTTCTTACCTTTATAATATTTGTTATGATTTTCAGTATAGTTTTATTCATTCTGATTTTTTTTTGTTTTGTCAAGTCATTTGATTTATTAAAATAGCCCTCGATAATTTAACATCACCAGACAGCAGTATTAAGGGGATAAACAGGGAGTATCATTCAACTTTCTCACCCCCCCCCTCTTCTCCTCTTTCTACTTTCTCCTTTATTTTCTCCTCCTCTCTCACCCTCGTCTCATTTCCCCCTTTTTGCTGTTCCCCAAATTGTAGGGTCTGATATTTTCTATAAACTTTACATTAAACGATGGGCGTGTATGATATTCATAAACCACGTTCTGATTTTAAGTCTAGATTGTGTCCTCAGCACGTGAGGCTGAACATCAGATATGATTTTATAGCGAGTATGGCAATAGGTCATTGACAGTTTCAAATATCTATTTACTTCATTATCCATATTCAGGTCACAAAAATCCCACTAGTCACGTATATGTTTTCAAAACAACTTTTTTTACTGCATCGTGATGGCGTTCAGCGTAGCTAAATTTCAAACTTCGGCCCTCTTGAAAGGTCAAGAGCACATACGCAAAATATAAAAGCAGACGACAGACATACTCACAACATATCTTGTCTTGCTGCGTCAGTGAACGTACGGGCAAATCAAAACACAAATCCACCCTTTTACAAAAGATTCTTACTTCAACATCAGCCACAGGAAATAAACACCAACAATGGCAGAATCACAATGTCGTCAAAATTTCCACCAAGAGAGCGAAGCTGGCATCAACCGCCAGATTAACTTGGAGCTGTATGCCAGCTATACCTACCAATCCATGGTAAGCCAATTTAACTCCAAGCTCATTGTTGCTTTTTATTGATTGATAACCTAGTTTATCTAAATATTCTAACTTCTTTCATCTGTTTCTCACTGTTTTTTTTTTAATCTCAAAAAAACTTTACTAGAGATTTACTTAGTAAATTTTCTATAACGCAGAAGTACAAAGTATCCGTATTTGTCTGCTTGTTGTAGTCCTTCTACTTCGATCGTGATGATGTGGCTCTCCCTGGATTCAGCAAGTACTTCAAGAAAGCTTCTGACGAGGAGCGAGAACACGCCGAGAGGCTGATGAAGTACCAGAATAAGAGAGGGGGACGCATCGTCCTCCAGGACATCAAGGTCAGTGGTCTAGACGAAAGTGCAAAGAAATCTAAAATAAATCCAAATTCATACACGTGTGCATTGTATCGTAGCACAGTCAAGGAAATATTAAGTAGAATTAGAATTGGCGGTTATAGCCAAAACAATTAATCTTTTTGTAGGGAAAGGACAGAAACAGTCTGTGCCTTCTGGCAAATCCCATTCACATAAGTGAATAAAATTTCATTTTAATTAAATTGGCTTAATGAATTTATTTAATTTTTTACGTCGACAATTTTCAGAAACCCGACCGTGATGAGTGGGGTACTGGCCTGGATGCCATGCAGGTGGCGCTTCAGCTGGAGAAGACTGTGAACCAGTCTCTCCTTGACCTTCATAAGGTCGCCGATTCCCACGGAGATCCACAGGTAAGAAAGAAATATACCTTTTATGAAAATATTTGTATGGATTATCCTTAAAAATTTAGGCTACTTTAAAACATTATATTATCAATTATAGATGACTGACTTCATCGAGAGACATTACCTGGAGGAGCAAGTGGACGCCATCAAAGAGATTTCTGACCACATCACGCAGCTGAAGAGAGTCGGAAGTGGATTGGGAGAGTATGAATACGACCGTCGTCTTGACTCCTAAAGGTCAAAGTTCAAAAGGACACTCAGTTATACACCCTTTAAAATTTGTTTGGACCTTTTCCAAGACGTATAAGTGAAAATTTGAGCATTTTTATTAGACACTGGGGAAAAAAAACGGAAAAAAAAGATTATGGGTGTACAAAAAAATTGATAAACAAATAAAAATTGCAAAATGTTATGCGAGATTTGTTTCTATGTTGATATATACATGATATACTAGTACATATATGTCTACTATGTATGAAAAAGGTGATGTGTGTGTTTTTAATTTCCTATACAGTACATGTGTATAAGGTCATATGACACGTCCCTCAATAATATATAAATTTTCCTAAGTGATTAAAGTATTGCTACTTTAATATGTTTCCCGCCAAATATTAAGGTATTGCCAGGCATTCGTGCAAGGAGGCATTTCCTATAATCCCTTGAATTGCCGATATCACAATTTTTGGTATAACTATATATTTTAAACATTTTGAAAACAGCTTAGAATTCAGAAGATAATAAATTATGAGTGTTTTATCGGATATTACAAAGAGATACAAAAAAAAATATGAAGGAATTAACATGTCGTTATACCTTAAATTCAATGCAGGACTCAGATACTACAAGTATATAATACAGCGAGGTTGTTTGGTTCAAATACATTTCCCATGGTTGCTACAAGTACATCGTATAAGCAGTCTAGACTTGTCTATCATCCCCACTAATAAGGTAATTAATATCCTTCCATCAATGTACGAGACCCTGACCAACGTTTGTTATTGTAGATTGTAGAGATCTATAGATATACAGGAAAATAAGGTCAGATGATACGTTCCTCAAATATCTGTTTTGTATATCTTCATATTGTATGGAAAATATTCAAAATTTTAAATACTTTCTGATTTCTAAACTGGTTTCTTATTGTCTTCAAAAAATTGAAACACTAAAAAATGTGATATTGGCATATTCAGTTTTTTCCCAAAAGGATTACATAGGAAATGTCATCCTCTGGTATCTTGTACAAATGCCTGGTAAGATACCTCAATTTTTTGCAAGTACACCTATTAAAGTAGCAATACTTCAACGACAAAATCTTAGAAAAAATTATATATTATTGAGGAACGTATCGTCTGTCCTGAACAGCTTAACTTACGCAGTAAGTATCTTGCATAATTTAATCACCATCTACATACACAACATTTTTTTTTCCCACCGGGATCTGCTCTCTACCAGAACTCCTATCACTTTTAATGTACAATGTTATAAATCGAGGGAACAATAACATATTATTTATTTATAAATAGTAAATAAGCTAAAATATCTTTATATAAATATGCCCTTCAATGGATAACCTTGTATTTACTTCTGCAAATAAAACCAGTGTTTTATTAGTTAGAGAGTTCTGGTTCACTCTCCAGCTGAAGCGCCACCTACATGGCATCCAGGCCAGTACCCCACTCATCACGGTCGGGTTTCTGAAAATTGTCGAATGTAAAAGATTAAAATAAATAAACCAATTTAGTTAAAATGACTCTTTATTCACTAGTATGAATGGTATTGGTCAGAAGGCACAGCCTGTTTCAGCCCTTTCCCTAAAAAAGATTGTTTTGGCTATAACAGCCAATTCTACAGTAATTCTGTCTATTCCTATAGGAATTACTGCACTGCTTTGTTTTTATATTCTTTAAGGTAAGCTTGAAATATTTTTCGTCCTTTTCTCGTTTTTTTTTGTTTTTGTTTTTTTTTTTTAAAATAAATATTTAATATATATACTAAAAAATAAATACTTGTATATGTACATGTAAACGAATTATAATTTATATATATTTTCTAAAATTTGTGTTTCATGAAAGTAATAAGATTTTTTTGACTTAAGATTATTACGATCAACAATAATGTCAAACGACTAGGGTGAAGTTACGCATGCAGTGTTGATTTTTTTTCATTAAACGACCAAGTTTGGTTTGCAAAAGATTGCAAAGGAATGGGTTGATAAGTCAGAATTATGTGAGTAGTTGATCAAAGGTTACAGAGCTTTTTTGTTTGTTTTATCTTTTGGCAATAATATCTAGCTCTGATTTCTTATCAAATAATAATGCTGGATCAGGAATGGTTTCTAGTAATACAACTGTAAAGTATTGCAAAGAAGCTTTAGTGGTATTGAATGATGAACCACAATGCTGTATACATATTACTAGCATAATTTGCTACAAAATAAAGTGTATCTGGTGTTTTTTACTTTTGGATCTTCAGGAACTTGAGCATAAGGTTGATTTGTGAGCTGGGGCATTGTCATGCAGAATGTTCTTAATTCAAGTGGTTGCACGAGTAGTTACGGTTTTTTCTAAAGATACTTATGACAATTTAATATGTTCTTGTGATGCTTTGACAACATTCAGTAATCACTGGTAATCGCCTGATATTGGCTCCATGGTTTGCCATTCATTGATGCTTTCACTTCAGTCAGTAATTGCTTGATATCAGTTCAATGGTTTGCCATTCATACCTTATGTGTATGAACAATATCTAAGAAATGTCATTTTCTTCACTTATAATTGGTAGATATTTCAATAAAAAAAAAGAAATAATTGTACCAATTTTTATTTAAGTTTTCCTCTAATCCTTGAAAAGGTTATCTTTTAAGGTATTTAGTTTATTTTCTGCTTTCTTCTATTTTTGAAATGAACAAATACCAGAAACATATATTCAGGATATGCACATATTTATTAAACAGCCACTGTTCTCAAATACATCTTGAACATATTGCACTAGTGCCATTAACAAGTACTTAAACATAAATATCTATACATGACTTATCACTATTATCACCTTAACAACATTAAATGTATACGTACCCAACAATCAAAGGGAAAAAATAAAAACAGTTACACATAACTTACAATTGGCATGGCTATATTAACAAATCAATGCCAATTAAGAACAAGGTTAATATACACAAAGAAAAGCTTTTCTTCTATTGAGTTCATTTTGAATAATATTTTGTCTTAAGCACATTTTTTCAATATTTAAAAAATTGCAACCATTCAAATTCATTTAAAAAAATATATCACAATTTGTGCCTTATGTACAAATTTATGTCAATATTTTATCAAGAATTAATGAATTCTTTATAATTTTCTTGATATATTTGATAAAGGAATGTTCAACATTCAACTTTATAAATGGTTCATCATATGTGACAATTGTATATTCTAAGACATGTACGAGTCAGCAATTATTTACTCTTGTTTTAGCTTTCTGAAAAAAAAATAATACAAGAGGCCCAAGGGCTTTAACGGTCACCTGAGTATAAAACAACAATCTATAGAAGATCCATAGAGTATAAAATAAACTGATAGAAGAAGCTTTTGTAAATCTTTGATTTCCCTTGTGGCCCCACCCTATCCCAAGAGTCCAGAGTCATGATTTGAACAAACTTGAATCTATACTAGCTGAGGATGTTTCCATGTAAATATAACCAATCATGGCTTTGCTGTTCTTGAGAAAAGAATTTTTTCAATTTTAAATGATTTTTTCTATGTACTTCTATGTAAAACTTTGATCATATTAAAATGTCTAATCATGGCTTTGCAGTTCTTGAGAAGAAATTTTCCTATATATTCCTATGTAAGACTTTGATTCCCCATTGTGGCCCCACCCTACCGGGGGGGGGGGGGGGGGGGGGTTCAGGATTTTAACAAACTTGAATCTACACTACCTGAGGATGCTTCCATATATTGATCAATCATGGCTTTGCTGTTTATGAGAAGAAGATTTTAAAAGATTTTTCCTATATATTTCCATGTAAAACATTGATCATCCATTGTGGTCCCACCCTACCCCATGGGTTCATGATTTGAACAAACTTGAATCTACAATACCTGAGGATGCTTCCATATAAATATGACTCATCACAACTTTGCTGTTTTTGAGAAGAAGATTTTTAAAGATTTTTCCTATATATTTTTATGTAAACTTTGATCATCCATTGTGGCCCCCCCTACCCCCGGGGGTCATGATTTGAACAAAATCGAATCTACACTACCTGAAGATGCTTCCACATAAATATCAGCAATCAGGGCTTAGCTGTTCTTGAGAAGAAGATTTTTAAAGATTTTTCCTATATATTTCTATGTAAAATTTTGATCCTCCATTGTGGCCCCACCCTACCCCCGGGGTTATGATTTGAACAAACTTGAGTCTACACTACCTGAGGATGTTTCCATACAAATTTCATCTTACCTGGTCCAGTGGTTCTTGAGAAGAAGATTTTTAAAAGATACCATTAATTTTTCACTAATTCTTAATTATCTCCCCTTGGAAGAAGGCGTGGCCCTTCATTTCAACAAACTTGAATCATCTTTACCCAAGGATAGTTTGTGGCAAGTTTGGTGAAAATTGGCCCAGTGGTTCTTGAAAAGAAGTCGAAAATGTGAAAAGTTTACGCATGACGCACGACGACTGACGAAAACAGATAGCAATAGGTCACCTGAGTGACTCAGGTGACCTAAAAATCCACAGGCAGATTACTTTAAAATGAGTAACATTTGAGTAACATTATTCTCATTTAAAAAAAAAACGTGAAATAACACATTTGTAAATCTCACTTTTGATAGTGAAATCCTATTTTGGTTAACTCCTAGGAGACTTCTGACATATTAACAGCCAGTTCTGACTCCACACTATAAAGTTAATCCAGATATTCTCAGATAAATGTGGATTAACTCTTCTTGGATCCACATAGGTTACCATACTAGCTGAGAATGAACTTAATCAAGTATCTAATGTGACATCATTAATTCACAGTAGCATTACATATGGTAAAATTACTCCACAATCAGAGTTGTAGTGTGGTCTGTGGATATGATTAGGATTAATTATTGTGGATATAGTTAGTGTGGATTAACTTAATCAAGTGTGGACTGGCCCTTTAGATGAAACTATGAGCTTCTTGACATAAAACTTGCAAAAATAACAATCATTTATTTTGTATAATGATAAATATGGCAAATGTTGATTAAAGTATGGACAGACCCTACTGATATGGCATCTGATCTCTTGTTTCAGGATATAAAATATAAGTCCAGGTTTATTTACAGTGTATATCATTGTAACTTCAAAGAAAATCAATGATTTTTTTAAATGTTTTGTAAATATAGCATTACATACACAAAAACAGAACCACCAATTTATTTGAAACTTATGCTTGAAATATCAATGGGAAAAAGTGATTATTCATATTTACTCCAAACTAAAAACCAATACAGTTGTTCACATTTAGAACATTCAAATTCTCAAGAAACTGCCCTCACATACAGATAAAATCTAATCCAAGACCTATAGACCTTTTGTGCTATACTATCGTCTATACTGACTATGTGCACTCAACAAATGAACAATGCATGAAACATGTAACTAATGTAGAGGGAGGTTCCATAAGGGGTATTTCAAACTAACACCAACACAGGTTAAAGAGGGATAACTGACACTGAGATTTCTATGATATGGAATGTTGAGAAGCAAATGTAATTGTTATTAAATACTCATTCACAAAATTTTACTAAATTTCTTTTGACAACAAAACAAAATTTTTGCAAAGCAGACATGTTCTTGAAAGCGTTTTTTTTTTGTAGTGAGGGAATGAAAAAGTCAGTTATGAAACAAAATAAGATGAATTCATCACAGCTGATCTTTGTGATCATAACATACAAACTTTACAAAACACACAGAAATTATCAATAATATGGCATTTCCCCCCAACCTTTGCAATGCCAACAATAGTAAGTAAAACTAGCTTCTATTTTTTTTCAGAAATAATTTTTGTTTGCCAAGCAAAAGTGTTCTTTTAATTAAAACCCAACTTGTAAATTTACTTGAGATAAAAAAAAACATGAAAAGGTTACTATTAGATTTGTTTCACTACTTTGTAATGTGCGAATTAAATCTCTGACTATCAACAATACTGCCCGAATGGATAACACTGTTAAACCTTTATAATAAAAAATCATTTTTGATATATAAAAAAAATAAAGGTCTACTGTGCACTGAGTGTAATTCTTTTTTAAATCATAACAATTCTGGCAACCTAAGAGCGGGTAACATACTGTCCACAAGATTGACCCACAAATTCGCACACACCGCGTGATACTGTCGCCCACCATATGTAAGTTTGGCACACTGCTCCTCACTGCCGAAGTCTTTACATGTGGCGTCTACGTCTAATAAACACACACCACAGGCTTGGAACTGGGCTACCTGATCGTCAGATTTCAAGATGCCATTTTTGCAATCTAAATCTTTATCATCTGGCTGTAATTATGCATCAATTAAAGGTAAATTTTAATTTGAAATAACTGGCAGTTTCTATAATTGTAGCATTTTATACATTATTTTTATGACCAAGTTTTTCTTTATTTTACATACTTTCAAGCTTTCAGAAGGATACAGGAAAATATGAAGTTTTAAGAGTTGATTTAAACATGCCAAATATATGACATACACGATTTTTCAAATATACATACACATGTATTTTCTCAAGGACAAAATTAAAATTTACTATACAAACCATCATATTTCCTCCAACAAGAAAGGCTGCCAAATTATTCCAAGCCAGATCTATGTCTTTCAAGAGTTGTTTTAATTTTTCATTTGTTAGCCCTACAAAGAGGAAAATTTTGCATGATTTTGTTTAAAGCTGATACACCAGTATACGCCTTATCATACCCTAATGCCACCAGAAAATTTCTCCATACTTTGTACCATATTTTATCATATTTCAATATGATTCATACTATTCTATATGTAAAGTTTTTGCCAAGTTACCACTCGAAATGCAACAGATTCACTTAGGTGTGTAAAATACATATCCTGACTTTGAGGTGTATTTGAAAATCTGTCATAAATATGTAATTCAAATGTACATGTAATTCAAAACTTCAAAAGGAAATGAAATGTGAAGTGAAATTACATAATTTACCTGTATATGTATGTATACTTTTATTTCAGGTAAGCATATAGGTGTAAATGTGTATATATTTTAAATGTATTTTGAAAAAAATAAAGCAATCATTGTTCACCTGTAGACTCTATAGACACATTAATTCTGCATACAACTCTGTAGATTTCAACAACACCTGAAAAACAGAATTATTTTTAGTATCAAATTCATGCCTTGAAAGCAAAGACAAAGTTTGCAGGAGAATCCCTTTGAACATATATGTACATGTATCAAATGAAAAAAAAGTCACGAAGGAAAATAGGCACAAAGAAGAGATGGTTTACAGTAATCTAGATATTTTAAAAGCATTGCCTCTGGGAGACTGACCTGTGAACTGAGAACTTAGATTTCCTTACCTTTGACCTGGAAACTGGGAACTTTTAGATTTCCTCACCTTTGACCTGGAAACTGAGAACTTAGATTTCCTCACCTTTGACAAACTCTGAGCCCTGCTCTGAAGTGATGACCTCGTTACACACAGCTGAGCTACTGATTGAGTTGAACACTGTGTTGGCATCTTTGACCACTTTGTAACAACTCTCCAGACATTTCTGCCATTCATGTACATGTTTGTCACTTCCCTTATGGAAAGAAGTTCACTACATGAAATAACTGTATTACAAAATGACCAACAAATAATGAATTCAAGGTTATATCATTAATTTGTACCATAGGACTGGCGGTAAATTTAGATTTTGCTTTGATGTTGCTGTGGTGTATTTGCAAGAAGAAAATTTTTCTTCCTTTTTAGAGCTGGCACACTACAACTAAAATGTGAAGTCGGAGTCTTCCTAATAAAATGCTCAGATATTTATATGTAGGTAATGTTCCCCAGTTATAACCCATGACCATGATTTTTTTTTTAAATTTCTGATCAAAACAGGATCTAGAGACTCTACTGGAAACACCTATAAGATAACAGATACTGACTGGAATATCCTCCATCAAACAGCTGTATCTGTCTCCCAGAACAGGAAGTGGCTCAGCAACTTTACTGACAAATGGCAAAACTGGTTCTGTATCAAAACAAATTTACATAATACAATTTAAATTCTTAAAAAATTGTTAAAAAGAGAGACAGATATAAAGGGTTCAATTCGGAATATATTGAAATATGAAGACACATTAAGAATTGGGGTTTCTTTTTACCTGAAAATTGTGAAAAATGCTCCTTTTGTTCAGGTACATTTTCATCTTTGACTTCATTTTCAGGCATTTCCAAATTTTCAACAGACTCCACCTCTTCTTTCTTCAAATCCAGACTGTCCAAAGACTTTGATTCTGGATTGAAAGTCTTTTTCTGATGAGTCTCGAAATTACCAAACTCATTGCTGGATATAGACTGAGAGTCCATATCTTTGACAACAGGAACCCGGCCTTTCAATCCAGGGAGTTCAAGACTAGAAGTAGACATGGAATCCTCAGAAATAGCTGGATTACTAGGAAATCCAGAAACATTTCCAGACACACTTGAAGAATCTGTCTCTGTGGGATCCAACACAGATGTCTGTGCTTTGTTGGCTAAGCCTTGTGATATGGATTTACTGGATGGAGCATCCATTCCATAAAAGTTGTACAGATTCTTTTTCTTTTCATCCTGAGCAGCAGGTTTATTCACAACCTCATCCAAGTCATAACCTCGGCTAAAGTCACCGAACGTGTCATCCTCTTCATCCACATAATCCATGGGTGGAGGAGCCCTGAAATGATCATCATCCATATCCGAGTCTGAAGACAACTTTTTAGATTTTTGCAAAGGAATGTTTGTTGGAGCTGGGGGTATTTTTTCTCTTTCAGGTTCCACAAAATCATCCCTTGATACAACACTGACTGGATTTTCCTTCACTTTGAATAACCCCAGTATGTCTTTAGTCTGTAAATGTTGCTTTTTCACCTCTACAAGCTGAGGTGCCTGATTTGTATTTTTTATTGTATCATTACTTCCTGTTGAAGAGTGAAATGAAGCCCATTCATCTTTTGCTTCATCTTTAGTTACTTCTCCTTGAGAAAAATTTGACCAGTCATCTTTCTGTTGATCATTTCCTACCTCTCCTTGTGAAAAACTAGACCAATCATCTTTTGGAATATTTGTTGCCTCAGTTCCATTTCCAAAAGCTGACCAATCAGAATCATCCTTGGATGTGACATTGGCTGAACTTGAAAATGATGACCAATCATTTTGTGTGTTACTTGTAAAGTTAGTTTGCAGCACATCAGATTGATCATTAATCTGCTTTATTTCATCAACTTTAGCATCTGTGGACACTGCCTGAAAATCTGCCCAGGAATCCTCTTCGCTTTCTGCAGTGGCTTTACTATCAAATATTGAAGGTGCTACTGTAACAGAGGTGTCCTCGCTGACCTCAAAAGCCCTCAGAGCAGCATATTTGTCCTCATCTCCAATTAAACAAGTGTCACTCTGTGAGGCCTTCAAAAGGTCAGCACCTTGTGGCTGTGAAGGGGCAGGTGGCTTTTCACTTGGTGCACCTTGAAAATCCGCAAAATCTGAATCCGATGATTCTGGAGGTGATAATCCAAAGTGGGCCCTCGGCAAATCCGACTGAGGCTTAGCAGCCTCTTTCTTAACTGTAGGCGGTTTAGACCAGAGATTTCTAGCTGCTGGTATGGCAGAGAGTGTTGCATTGCTGGGTAGCTGAGAGGACTGGGGGCTTGTAAACTTTGGGAGGGGTCGGTGAAGGGGGCTGTCTTGTTGTTTCTCCTGCTCTGATTTTTTTCTGTTGAAGTCATCCAAATAGGACTCCAGCACCTTGAAATCCTCATTTTCTGACTGCTCAGATGAAGTAAACTGACTGCTGTCACTGGGTTTGCTGTCTGCCGATTTGAAATCATCAAAGTCTTCATCCATGCTATTTGGGGTTGAAGCACCTAACAAAAACATTGTGTAATGTAATGTTATTGTGCAAGAAGGTCATGACATTCAAAAATTCAGTATTATGCAAAAGAAAAAAATTGGTGAATTGAAAGTATAAGTTGAGGTGTATACATGTATAAGGATGACAATTTTTGTGTAATAAATAGTATAAATTATGATTTGTGTCCAAAAAAAAAGAAGAAGAGATATTAACTATCCATCCTAAAAAAAATTATACATTTGTTCCAAATCATAAAGAATGTTCACATTTCTTACAATTAGGAAATCACTTTAAAATTTCTTACAAATAGAAATCACTTTAAAATTAAAGGATTTTTGTGTTTGTGTACTATAAAATGATTAAAAATTAGTCCTATCAGCTACTTCTAGCATTTATTTATTAATGTTCAAATGATTAAATTTAATTAGTTTGATGATTTTAATCTAGCAAACAAACAAACAAACAAAAAAAAAATGCTTAAAAATTAGAATTCACTGATGTTGCTTTCATGTGTTGCATATTTATTTTAACTTTTAGTTAAATATGCTACAGCATCAGTCGTAATAATAATCAATACATTGTTAAGTATCACATAATTCAATCTTTAAAACAAGTCAGTTAACACTAACAAATTCCCTTTAAATATAATATTCATTGTTGCTTAGATTGTCCCGTTTACATCTGAAAGTCTGCAGATATCATAAATCATCCTAATATTTATCAGGGCTGGAAACATTATCTGGTTATGCTAAATATTTAGCTGTTAAACTCATTATTATAAAAATTAGGCAAAGGTATGGGTGACTAGTACAATTGATGTTTATTGGAGGAGGGAAAGAGGGCATAAAAGTATGTTGCTCAAATTTAATTTCCTGTAAAATACCCACAAAGTACCAATAGCTAATATGTTTATTGTTTGTATATTGATATAATCAATTGCTTCTATACTTTTTGTATGCATATGAAAAAAAAAGCAAACCATACAAATATGTATGATAATAATAATTAAATTGTACCTTTGGTTAAGTGATGTACTTCTATTACTAAAAATATGCTAAAACATTTCTATTCTTTTTCTTTATATTAAAAGATGTCATGCCAGAGTTTGAAGAATGAATACAGTAATGAAGTAAAGAGATAACCTACACGTACATACATAATACGTTTGCTATAAAGATAACACAAATGAATGATTTAATAATTTCTTCATGCACCCATCATATCATCACTGCATTGCCAAAAATTGCTGAAAAAAGAGCTGTTAAAATGTTGGCATTTGTATGTTTACTCCTCATCACTCAAATGCAGCAAAAGAGCGAATTTCAGCCAAGCAGAGTACAGAGTGAGTCAAAAAGTGCATGCTAGAGGAGGAAATTTTAGTGCTACGCTGTAAAAGTACCTTTCTTGCCAGTAACAATTTTTCGTTGTGGAGAAGCTGAAACTTTATGAAAAAATGACAGAAATTCAAAAAATAGGTCTACAAACAACATTCCCATACCAATGTAAGAATCTATTTATTATTTGTTAAAGAAAATGATGTGGAAAACGGAAGTCATTCATCAAACTTTCAGTCCATCAACAGTTGAATTTTTGATAATTTTGTTGACCATAAAGAAAAAAGATAAACCATGCATGGATATCAAATGCTTGTATACACATCTTGCAAAACTAAAACTTCTATTCAACTAAAATTCAAACTTCATCAGAAGCAGTTCAAAACTATCAAAACAAGTCATCCAATGCCAGCTGGTGTAGATCAACCTACCACTGTAGGACCTCCAAGGTCTACCATTACTCAACAAGTCTTCCTCTATGATAAAGTTCAATACTGTATCAATTTTTCTAAAGGAAATCTATTTCCATTCAAACATTCATTCAGATAATTTTTTTATGGTTGCATAAATTTAAAAATACAGTCATTTATTCTAAAATTCATTCAGCCTGAGACTTTCACTCAGATAAATCATGTGAATGACTTAAATTAACTCGTTCAACTATTCCACAAGTTTTCTTTATGTCTGACATCAATTCAATGGTGCTTTACATACTGGTATATTTTGTACTTCTAAGGGCAACATGGATTTTACAGACAAAAATATATTAAGTCAAGTTCACAACTCATTTTGACATTCCACACTAAATAACACACTGTTGCATTAAAGTCCTCCATCAAAGTACACATGGTATTTATGTCACTGAAAGTGAAAAATTTGCCAAAATTTTTTGACTGTTACTTATTTCTAATCTTTGCAATGATACATCAAATACTTTTTGTGGCACTCTGCAACACCCATAATTTTTTTTAACAGACTAGCAAAAGTGAAAGCATTTCCACTGCAATATAGCAAATCTAATCTAACAGCAACACAGAGTATAATCATCCTATTACTGAACTAGCATGTTGTGTTTTCTAATGCTCGATATTCATGTCAGTCAGAAACTTTGTTACAGTATCATTAATTCCATTTCATGAATTATGATTTGTTTTACATCTAAACTTCTTTTTTCATAAAGTACAATACACTGACTCTTTGCTAATCTGGATATCAATAAGACGTTCCTTTCATTTTGCTGATTATACATGAACAGTATTATTTTCTGGAACAGGTTATTCATAACATTACTCAAAATCTTTATAGAAGAGATTCAGTGATTTGGATAAAGACAGACCCATCCTGATTACCATGGCATCAGTTTATTTACAAAAGGTCTTTTTATTTCGTTTTAAAATAAAGATTTTTGTATCAAAACTAGCCAAATCTATTGTATCTATTGACAATAAAAATTGTATTAAAAAGTGGGAGGGATAGAGCATTAATACTACAGATCTAAAATTCTGATTTACCTGAGGAATCATCACTGCCAAAAAAGTTTGAAATGTTAGAGTGATTCATGTCTGGTGACATCTGAATTTGCAGGTCTTCTGGCTTAGGAACGCTGTACAAATATCTAAGACCAGAAAAAAATAAAGGACTTTAACTTGGTCAGCTACATATATATGGTACATGTATTTCACCAATACAGCTAGAACTGGCATGATAAATTATTGTATGCTCTAGATTAACTGATTATTTTAGTCATTTCATGTTCAATAACATATAAAAAAAATTTCTCAAGGTAACTGCAGATATCTTTAGATATCTAATACAAGTACATTTAAGCTTGGATATCAGATATACTGGATACTTATAAACTTACTCAGGTTCTTTTTTAAGTTTATTTGATTTCTTTGGTGAAGTTGCTATGGCTGAAAAAAATGTAACCAATTATTAAATTTGTTTAGTATATATAGACAGTGTATATAAACCTATAGATGCATTTACATAAATTGCAATCAGCTTTCAAATATAGAGCAAAAATGTGGAATATTTGCACTAAGAAATAAAAAAACAAATGTAAACATAATGAAGTTAAAATAATACAAAGTATTCTTCAGCACCTGTAGAAGTAAAGGCTGGTGCTTCCTGAAAATCTGCAAAATCATCATCCTCTGTTTTACCAGCCCGACTTCCCTCTAAACCAGAAAATCCTGGCATTCCTACCCCAGGAACTCCTTGACTAGACACTGGCTGACTTCCAGGTGAAGATGGACTCCCAGTTACCATGGATGTCTGGATACCTGTCACTGTTGGCAAAGTTCCAATTGTCCCAGAATTCCCTGCTGTGAGAGGTGTCTGAGATCCCTGAATCATTGGCAGGGTGCCAGATATTCCTGAATTCACAACTGCTGCATTGTTCTGGGGTGGGAGCTCTGAGGTGCTGGCAGGCTGAGGGGGAGGAGTAGCTTGTTGGCCCAGAAAAGGAACAGGAGGCTGGGGACACTTCCTCAACATCTCAGGTGATAGTGATGTTATGTTATTCTGTTCAGAGAAAATGAAAGACATGTAGCAAATGAAACAACAAGAGCATATAACCTGGCTCTTGAAAATGCAAATCTTTCAAAAGAATATATACTGAACCGATTCTGTTTTATGCATTCTATGGTTAATAGTAATGAAAGAAATACCTTATGATACATTAAATTTCAAGCACATCGTGTTTTAATTAGAAAGTGTTTCAAAAATCTAGCACTATTTGGAAGATCATTACTTCCAAGACCTGGAAAGGAAACATTGCAACTATATGGAAAATATACTTCAGCTTAGTTATGCAAAAATAATATTGTTCATACAAATAGCATACATCTTTACTTAAAAATATGAAAACTTCTTATTACAAACCTGAGCAAAAGCAATAAGAGCCAGTATGAGGTACAGTTCTGGTTTTATTAGCTGTCCTGGAGTACTCTGGTTGGCCAGCGACCAGATCTGCCCTAAGGTCTCCTTAGGTAGACCACTCAAAACCAGAATGGGGTACAGTCTGTCTGTGGATATCTTACCATCACTAAAACACACCATAATCAAAACAATTCAGAGATGATAATCCACATTAAAATCAAGGCAAGGGATCCAAATGTCAGTATGTTCATGTGTATTTTATTTTAGTATCAAATGAAGACTTAGTATCCCCATTTCTTAAATTTACACATAACACTGACATATACAATTATAGACTACATAACACTGACATAGATAATTATAGACTACATACACAGTTGCTGCCTCCAGGACTTGTCTATATAAATGTGGAACCTTGTCATCTTCATGACACCAGGCTGGAACCTCGAATTTGACAGGTGTGGGTGGGGCCTGGGCAGTCGGGGGTGGAGAAGTAGGTGGAGCTGATACTGTAGCTGGTTCTGTGATGGTAAAGTCATATGAATTAATAAATTTTTTATCATCAATGTGAAGTTCTTTTACAATTTAACCTTGTGCAACTGGATACATTCTTAAGAAGAATGAATAATGATGACAAACAGTACATTTCAAAATTAGGCAGTTGTGAAACTAAAGATATTTGTTTTAAGCTATGAGAAGTCGATTACCTTTAAGGATCTGAAATACATATACAGTCAAACCTCGTTATCTCGAACTCGATGGGACTGAGAAAAAACTTCGAGATATCCAAGAGTTCGAGATATTGAGGGTAAAATATTTAAGAAATATGTGGTTATGACTTCCCAATCACTTCGACATATACATGGTATTCGAGATATCCATGTTCGAGATACCGAAGTTCAACTGTAAATTAATGATGATTTTAATCGTCATAAATTTACATTAACTGTAAATTAATACCATTAAAATAATGAGATTGTCAAATGAAAATACCATTAAAATAATGAGATTGTCAAATGAAAATTAGCATTCTAATCTAAATCATTTTCATCTTTAAAATATTATACAGATTTGGCGATCTCCCATCAGACCTTGGACTATAAAAAGCCCCGTAAGATCCTCTTCCTGTTTCCACTGGTGGGCGTGGCGACTCTGCTGGAATGTATGGTGGTGGTGGTGAGTGGGAGGTAACTCCTTCAGGGATGGCTTGTGGAATGTCTTTGCTTTATTAGGAGCTGAGAGATCAGAACACTCAAACATCATAGCCATGAGATCTAAAAGAAGTACAAACAGATTTACAATGTAAAAGTCAAACTAGGGAAAATAGCATCTTGAAAAATACCCTTGGCAAATTTGTTTTCAGATTTCTGAAGAGATTTTCATATATTAGAACATCCACTAAAAGTCTTAAAAAATAAATATTTTTTTTTATATTCAGATTAGAATTCAATATCCTCTTGTGTACACATTAAGTTGGATTGAATTCATATTTTTTGTAAGCTTAATAAACTGAATCCTTAGGAGAAACATTTAACCTTTCTTTTCTTCTTTTGGGGGAATGTTCTCAGTAGGTGGTGCTGATAATTGCTCATTAGTGGTGGGAGTGGCCTCTAAGTTATTTACATTCTGGTTATCATTGGAACCTTCCTGTCCAGCAGGAGTTGAGGGGCCACCAAGAAAATCACCAAATCCATCATCTGTTTGCTGTGCATTTGTTGCTAAATGTGATTAAAAAAAAGTATGATCTGAAATCTTCAAAATCAACATTTTTTTTTTCTGTTTATTTCCATTCTTGTTAGTTTAGGTTCATATCCCCCCTTTTCATTTAAGTAAAATTTGGCTTCCATGATAATGAATTTCCAAAAGAAATTCAAACTGTAATAGAAATGCCAGTAACTTCAGCTTGCCATACAGTGCAGATTTAACTTATCAATTCTTTAAGGGGAAAATGATAGTCATTAATGTCAGTGAGAGTTATCTCTCTTTCCACTTGGAGGTTGGGGAGCAACATTTCTTAGTCACATTTTTTTTGTGTGTGTATCTATGGAAAGAAACTTAAGCAGCTTTACAGAAATAGACATTTTAACAAGAACTTACCTTCTTTAGCTGTAGGAGGGGCAGGACTGTTTTTTGGTGTAGGTTTCTCTGATTTACCAAACATGGACTCTATCAATGAATCAGCATCCACCTTACTTCCTCCTCTAAAGTTCTTCAGCCTCTGTTGCTGTTCCTGGAACTGCCTTGCTCTTTTCTCCTGTTCTAGGGCTCGTCTTTGACTCTCTGGGGATAAAGGTGCCCTATTTCTTGCAGGAGTTGGCCCTCTGGATGGGGTTGGCCCCCTAATGAAAAGAATTACCAAAGAAATCAGACCTAATGGAAAGATTATTTGCATTCAATGTTTTCTTTATTCTTAGTTGCAAGATGGTAGGGAGGTGTTTTGTTTTTAGTTTTCTTTTTTTTTTTTTTTTGGGGGGGGGGGGGGGTTGATAAATAAAATTTCTTCAATTAAATACATTTAACAACAATAAAACAAACCTTTGTCTGTAACTGTCTGTCAAGGCTTGATTGTATGATGGTGGACCTACCCCTGGTCTCATTCCCATCTGTAATGACAAGAAAATACTTACACTGATATATATTCAAAATTCCTATTGAAACCACTGTATACAGGGAGGTTGTTATACCATGTTATTTCCATCCAATTGCAACAGAAAAAAAGATTTGACTGTATTTCAAATTTTGCTGTTTTAGAGCTAAAAGTTTTGTTTTGTTTTTTTTCCAACTTAGTCCATTTTGGATGAGAACAACTGGAAGAAAATTAAATAGGGGGAAAATTCATACTTTTCCATACATGTATTTTCCTTTGATCATTTTATTTAATAAGTCAATAAAATACTTTAACAGTCGGTTATATTGCTAACAACAGTCACTGACTTTTCCAGACATATGAAATGTAAAATGAAGCTCTTCTTCATTTATAGAGAACACATGGTGTTTCAAAATAATCATGGACAAACCTGCATTGGAAACATATTTCCCTGAATCATTGGACCCCTGTTAGACATCAACATTTGTTGCTGCATCATGGGGGTTTGTGGTCCCATCATTCTCTGTTGTTGCATCATGGGAAATCCTGTCATTCCAGGTTGAACATATCCTGGATGACTACTCATCATTCCAAAGTTACCTAAGTTACAAAGATAATGTAATGTTCTTAATTCAAGGAAAAATTACATGCATATTAAATGAAAGTTATTGGAATTTTTTTTATTTTGGTATAGAAAATGATTGTAAAGCATTTTGTAGGAATTAAATATTTATAAATTTATGGCAAAGATAAAACTGGGGTGTAGAATGCTTTTAAAACTGCAAAAGTTATCTTACCTGGTGGCTGCCCTGGAAATTGGGCATTTCTGTAACATAATCAGTTATAAATAAGAATATAAAGATGAAAAATTATCTAGGCATTTTATAATCATTTCTTAAGGATTCTAAAGAAATTAAGGGTGCAGCCTAGTGACACATGCATTTACTTAAGACACATGCACATGTAATAATGAAGTGTTATATTAGTGACAATAGTTGTTTAGACAGATGGAGTCTTACGAGCATGAGCACATTGCATTATTCATGTTACATGTATTTCTTTTGAATCCTATTAAATTATGTTATTATTGCTCTTTATTACTTTGTTTCTGAGTTTATAAAATGTTAAACTTAAATACTTGAAGAAACAAGCAAATTCAAAGAATTCCAGTCCCCCGCTTAGTGGTTGGGATGCAATTATCTATGGCATATTGTAACTGTCTTGTTTGTGTGTCTTGTCTTGACTTATCTGTCCATCATACGCCTCTAGAACTTGAATCAAACTTCATGATCAAGGTAATGTAAGAGGTCAAATATCAAAATATGAATCAATCCAAAAGGTCTTGTCACAAGGAATGCACATGTGAAAAAAAAAATATGAAAAACCCTGTCTCATCTGGAGCAAAAGTAATGACCAGAGTTAAAATTTTTGTTAAGTAGGTCAAACTTCTAGGTCAAGATCATGAACTTCAAGTCAAAATGATAGTTCTTTCTGAAAGGTGTTGTCATAAATAATCTACATGTAAAATATGAAAGCCCTGTCTTCTCTCATTTAAAAGTTATTACCAATGTAAAAATTTTTTTAAAAAGACTGTAGGTTAAACTATAAGGATAAAGTCATGAGGTCAAAAACCAGAGTACATTCGGAAAGGTCTTGAAACAGTTAATGCACATGTCAAATATAAAACCCCTATCTTCTCTCATTCAAAAGTTATCAGCAATGTCAAAATTTTTGAAATTTAGGTCAAACTTCAAGGTGAAGGTGATGGGTTTAAAAATCATAGTATATTTGGAAATATCTTGTCACAGGTAATGCACATGTCAAATATAAACATTCTATCTACTCTCTTTCAAAAGTAATGACCAAGGTTAAAGAACAGGGGAAAAAATTCTTATTAAAAATATTAAATGTAAAATATTGGGTACATATCATGATACAGTCTCTGTGTATAATGGTATATTATGAAACTCTTCAGTCCTAACATTTCAGCCCTAGCATATAGTAATGGCATTTTTCGACTGACCATAGTACATATAATATACTGCTAGGGCTGTCACGGTTCCAAAATTTTCGGGTCAGGTCAGTTCTGTAAATTTTTGGTTCAGTTTCAGGTTTTTCGGTTTGGTTATTTACATCTATTTTAAACCTTAATTTCATGAATTTAACTTGAAAATTTTTTATTTGTTATGTTAAATTCACATTGCAAACAAGTCTCAACCATGTTAATGTCTAGATATTGGTGTTTAGGACTACTAGGCCTACTATTAGCCACAACCTGACCATTCTGCAGATATCTAATTTTCATAATTTTATCAACATTTACACCTTTAGAGATATAACATCTTACCCTAAAAACAATCCTACCCTTTATCGACATATATAAAACACAATGTGCAAAGTCATTTTGACCCCCTCTTCGATTCCAGCTTCAATTAACATTAGAAATTGGACATGCCTACAAGTTTGCATGTATTTATGTGTTCAAATATGATAATCATTACTATCCATTGCTTCAAAACATTTAATTCCACCACATTACTTGAACCCATTGATATATGCAAACCAGTAGGCATGTCTAAGTTTTATAATTCATGGAAGCCATGATCCAGGAAGGGATCAAAATAGTACTGCACAGTGTACACTTTGTGTTTTTATGTATAAAATGGGTAATATTTTTTTAAACTGTGGATTTATTTGAAACTTAAATAAAATTTCAAGTGTCTTTGACATATGCTACATCAGAGGCATAAATGATATGTTATTTGGCTACATAATCAGTACATAGGCTACAGTACGCTGTTTTTTCCAACAAAATAAGAAATTGAAGTTCAACAACTGATAAACTGATAACTGTTTCATCATTTGTATGTGTGTGTCTACACCAACAGCAATCAGACTCAAAACTACATGTTCTTCAGTTATAGAAATCATTACAGTAAACATAAATTTATCACTGTCACTAGTGACAGTCTCACCACTTGTAGATTTCGGTTAATTTTGCTACAATATTCAACATAAGAATACTATTGCCTCAAATACAACATGTTGTAGTTCATTTTTACTACTCTGTAAGTCTATAAAATGGGAAAGGAAAGGACCAAAAAGATGACATTTAGAAATAAAAGGTGGTACCTGTTTTCGTTCATCTTTGGAACTCTTTTGCATTTGAAAATAGGAAAAGTGCATGTAACGGTTAGTAAAAGGAATGATGATAAGATGAACTATTTCCGGAAATTGTCTATTTCATCTTAAAATAAATATGCACCAATCACTTTAACAGTGTTTAATCAGACCTAGAAATATGAATATCTAAGGGAACGAACCCCATAAATTAATTATTTCTTGATATATTTTCGTACATGCAATCATTGACATTTATGAAGATAGTTAAATTGTGCCAGCACTCAAATTCTTTTGATTGTTTGGTGGGCGTGGACAGCGGAATGCCATTCTCCGTCCCCTCTTCTCCCTTAACTTCTCTCACCTTATCTTCTCTACTCAAGATTTGGAGTAAACTTAATAAATGCGCAATTAGCTGTAATCGGTGATTTTCCTCAGAGGGTGTGGATGCATTGTAGGGCTTCTAGATGAAAAGGAGAGCTAGGGTATGAAAAAATATATAATTTAAATTAATTTTGTTTTTAAATGTGTAATAGAAAGTAAGAGGCCTGTGATTACATTTTTCTCGAAAGGAAAGTGAAATATGCAGGATATGGTTGATTGAGATGTCAAAGCAGGACATGCAGACTATGAATTTCTGGAGAGTTCAGACAAAAATTTTATTTTTAATTATCTATTATAAATGAAATTCATTTATGTATGCAATGTAATAAAACAAAACAGGGCAATGAAAGCATGTTTTTTTTTTGTCTGTTTGTTGTTTAAAGTGCCTCTCGAGAATATTTCACCCATATGAAGACGCCACCACTTGCCAGTGGAGAGCTGCAGATATTTGAAATATACTCGGCACTCAGGGTCATTGAGCAATGAGGGATCTTTTTCATGCCAACACCTTCTACGACACGGGACCTCGGTTTATACGGTCTCATCCGAAGGACCGGTCTCTACGTCCTAGAGTGGGATTCGAACCCGCGACGTAAGGATCAATTCCTTACTTCGCGAGAGCAGACGCTCTAACCACTGCCCCACTGAAAGCATACATGTACTCTATTTGATACCGAAATCGCTATATTTTAAGATAATCAATTCTATAGATAAAATGAAAATAAATTCAACAAGCAAAATAGAAGAAGAACGCCTGTCAGCAAAATGATAAATCAAAGGCGATTAATGACATCTGAGAAATTCCCGGTAAAAATTGTATATTTTGTTTCTCCGTTAATCTGCTCATAAAGTACCAAAGTTGTTTTTGCCTATTAAGTTTATAATTTCAACGAAAATGAAACAATAGCAATGAAACTTTCCTGAAAGTTTCAGAGGGGTTCTTGACATGGCCATAGGAACCGGGGAGGGGGATACAGGGGGGACGTGCCCCCCCCCAATAATTTTGCCGATATATAGATTACTGTAGAAAACATAGATACTATATGCTTGTGCCCCCTCAATAAAAACGTCTAATGACCTTTTTTTTCTTTTGCTTGTCAGGGAATTTTTGGTAGTTGATAGTGCCCCCTCAACTGAAGATGTATGGCTGTGCCTCCCCCCCCCCCCCCCCCCCACACTGAAATTGCTTCCTACGGGCTTGCTTGACTACTCACTATACCCTAAAATATCGTGCCGATCCGAAGCCAGGTTTAAAATTAAGATAAATATTCTACGTCGTATTGCGCTGGGAAGGGAGAGGGGTTAAAAGCAAGCAAAGTAAGAAGAAAGATATATAATGAGGAATATTAAAAGCTAACATGAAGATATCATGAAACCTGGAGGTCAAAGGTCACGGTAATGTCTTCAGCAATTTTCTTTATGCTTACAATAACCTTGACTTTGACCCAATGTTTCGGCCAAGTTTCAAGAGTTTCATCACAGGTACTCCATGTTTCTACGACTTTTCGCTTAGAGGTTTTAGGTTTTGATGGAAAAAACGGAAGATTTTTGGATCCATCCCCCAAAGCTGCTATAATTATGTCTCGCCACTCTTATATAGGGATATTTATTGTGTTCACCTCTGTCGAAACTTTTCTTCCCATGTCTGTAACTTAGCGCATAGGTACCATGGGTACGCATAAGATTTTGCTGGTGAAGACACCGTTGATCAGAAACAGCAAGAAATGTCCTTTTTAAACCCACATTTACGTATTAGGCCATCATTTTTTAAAAACCTTTATGCAACACATGAATAGAAACAGATTAACTTGTTAAGAAAAAATAATATAAAACCACTAAAAAATAAATACATGTAGATAAATAAGCAAGCAAAATATCGAGGCACTGATCAATGTACTACTTAGTACTTGGTATGCAAATCTCATACACATCAGTATATGGTGAGTCATACATTTATACATGTTCCAGATTTCACCTAATCTGTTCCCCTTGTTTTTCTTATCCATCAAAATAACACCTCTTGTATCTGTATGCCTAGAAAAGGAAATCCCAAAAGTACGAGTAGGAATATATATTAATTATTTGTTTGAAAAAATCACAATGGAAGTAAAGGGCAACCTTGCGCTGGACCTACCAAAATAAATAAATAAAAATAACTGTAAAAGTTGTATTTTTGTACTATTATTACAGATTTACATGGGATATACATGTATATTTATAGTCTTTAATTTGCTACCTACAATGTATTAATGAAAGAGGCCTTCATGGTCTCGAAAAACACCGTCTATAATTTGTTAATGATTTCATCAAGCCAAGCAAAAATAAGAATGCGGTGAATGTCCTCTCTTTGTAATATTTGTTGTTTAGCCTGTGTAGAAAAATTCAGGATAATAAGAATCAAAATATCTATCGACCAACCAGTTATCACCTGTAAATATTAATTATACATCTTGGCACTCCTACACGTATTAATGACCATAGAGATCCCATTGATCATTTGACCAAAGAAATTGATCAAAATGTTTTACGCATCAGTTAAACCCGTGTAGGACACATTCACTTCACCTGTCCAAGGAGCAATAGAATGGACAAACAAACTTCCGTTGTTTATATATTAATGGCATTGACGGTTTTCAATCCGGACGTGCAAGCCCAGAAGAATTCCAAAAATAATCAACCTATCGTCAGGAGGAGAACTGTGATTCCAAGGTGGGACAGAGACCGTCTTACGAGTGTCAATGGCTTTCCATTCAGAGAAAACTCAGGATCCCTTTCATACGCCTTAAATGATCAACTGAGAGCGAAAAATCCAGTTTTGCTAAATTCTCGTCAAGTGTTTTTGGATGAAAAACTGAACTTTCCAAGATCTTCCGTGTATCAAAATGCCTTCAACCTGCAAACTCCACCTGGCAGGCTTAAGCTTAATGATCAGGACGTATTAACAAATGTGTACGGTTTGTTTGATCCGCCAAATTTTTCAAAGATATTTTCAAAAGGCCGCAAAAGGACTCCGCAAATTCTGCGACTTCAGCCAAATTTGGGATCAAGAGCTAGACTAAGCCAAGCAATTCAAAACATTCCATTCATCAGCAAAGAAACGCTTCAAAGAGATACTTCTTTCCACTTTCCATATATTGTTGGAACTTTTGAGAATCCAGAAAATTTTATCCGCATTCCTTTTCAAAGAGATTTTCTTATCAATAATGCCAAAAGTCGAAGACAACCAACTATACTGAATACTCGTAATCGACCCATCAGCTCTATGTTCCGACCAGTGGAACCTAATTTTGGCTTTATGGAACCAACCAGTAACAGTCTTTATCTTCAACCCACAATAGGCAATTTTCCCTTGGATAATGGTATCGTTTTTGAAAAGAGTTTTAAGAAGCAAAGACCTTTAAGACCAGGTGAGAAAGAGGGCATTTATTATGATGGAAAAGTTTACAGGAAGACGCGGAAAAGGGTTAACACGGGGTTAAACAATAGAAACCTGAGGTTTCTTAAACAAGACTTCCACAGATTTCTGTTCACACCACGGTATGATCACCGTGATGGAATGAGATTTAGAAATAGACTCGCACCCCTCTTTCCGGTAATACCCGACACACTGGTCCTTGGAATGCCTGAAGGATTAAATTACAGATTATTTAGGATGCCTTTCTTTGCATAGTCCTTGTTTTGTAACCGTTTTCTGGACGAAGTGTGTAAACTGGTAGGTACAATAAATATTAGAGAAAGGGTGTACTTATCCAATTTGGTTACTAGTATTACAACCCCCCTGCTCCTTCCTATTTTTTTTCTCTTGAAAACAATATAAACTGGAAATATTATTTTTGAATAAATATTTTGAGGACAGTTATAAAAGCATGAACACACAAGTGCATCTGCCTCATCAGGAGACGACAGACACTAGATTTACGCGTTACTGTCAATAAATATTGTCCATACAACACCTTTGCTAGTCTAACCAACCACAGTAATTTGCATTGGTGTTGGACTTTGAGCATTAGTATTTGCAAGTCTACCCAGAAGGAAAATATCTGCCGACGAAAGAGGGATCTCTATCTATTGGCTGGTAGAGCTGAATACCCGTCAGAAAGAAAGTCAGTCATCCCGAGTAATTAGGTGCAAGTTGTCGTGACATCGTATATAAGAAGGTTGCAATAAACATTTCTGCATATTCTTAAATAAACGGCTGACATGTTACGTAGCACTTTGTACATCACATTTTTAGCTGGATTCTTAACCATCATACATGGTCAAAGAACGTCACTGAATGGCGCTCCAGAGCTTCCTTCAACTTTGAATCTTGATTTCCCTCCGCCAGTTCCAAATGCACCAGACCTTCAAAGAGCAGGTATCTATGATAACAACAGTGGCAGGAGATTAAATGGCCGTCTTTCCGGCGCTCTTGCAAATCAGAACATGATCATGGATACCTCTGGTGGCCTTGGAACATCTTTTAACGACGTGAACCAGAACACTGCTTTTGGTCAGCAAACCGGACTAGGTATGGATTCCGGATTTAGCCAGAGCACTGGAGCAAATATGGGACTCTCTTCTATGGGATCAATGGGCATAAACTCTGACTTAGGAACACCCTCGGGATCAATGATGTTCGGCGAGCATCCCACTGCTCTGGATTCCATGGGCGTCAACTCTGGCTTCGGAGATGTCTCCAGTACGGGTCTGGGACAAACCGGCTTCGGACTTGGTGGATCAGCAGGCGGACAAGGTTCCCTCGGAGACGTCACTTACACTAATTTTGGAGATTCAGATCTAGACCTTCCCTCCAATGCTGGATTGACGCTCGGCCAAGGCACCATGTCCACGCGAAGACGGGGTCAACCTGCTTACAACGCTTACATGCCAGGCCTAGTCCCTGGAGCCCGTGGCGAAATGAGAAGAAACCTCAGTGGACGACGCCGTGTACCACTGCCAATTATAAGACCACCACCCATAATTCTTCTCCCTCCTAAACGTAACATGTTCTCGCTGTTTAATCGTCGTCCTAGAGTCATTACAGTCCCCCTTGTTCCAGTAGGTCAACCAGTACCTGTTCCAATTGCTCCAAGACCATTTTAGACATCATGGTATGTTTTCATGTATTTAAAGGTCCGAGTAGCAATATACTGAAGTACACTTTAAAAAGGCAAAACCTGATGCCTTTCCGTCGGTCCTCAAGTTAAATATAAAGATACGAAAAATTCTAAACTTATATCAAACCATCCTAAAGCTAAAGGTCTGCCACTAATAAAGGCACAAATTGGCTCTGAATTATCACGAGTATGAACATGGGGGTTGTAAATCATCGCAGGACTTAAAAAAAAAGAATGATGATACAATGTAGCTACATAATAAACCCCTTTTATCAACTTCAAACATTATTTTGTTACATAGAAGTGTAACTCTTTGCAATATTAAATTTAGTTGACCATATTTTACCTTTTTTTAATTTCAGCGTTTTGGGAGTACTACTAGGATGACGTCATGGAAATCAGTCTGTTGTGCCCAATGTCAGCATTAAACTTCAGTGTAAAAAAAAAAAGCTTTTATCGTGTGGCTATTTTGTCCAGCGGTACTCAACCTTAGATGATTTTATATGCGTTTTTTTTACTTTTTTATTTTGTTGAAAAATAAAGGTGATGAATTAAGGAAGCTTTGTTGACATAGTTTCCAACTTTTACACCCCAAGGTGTCTATGAGACCCTTACACCTCGTAGGAATTTTATCATAACTTGAGTTCACCTACCAAAAAGTACTTATATGGTTCCCTAAAAAGTTTGAGTGCATTAACTTTAAGTTCTTGTTGATGAGGATGAAGCTTTTACAACAAAACAATTGTTCTTTATGGTAAAAATTGTAGAAAATTCATGGCTGTCAAATAGCCCTCTATAATTAAATATGGTGTTGATTTGCAGTGTTGCGTTGGATATAACAGACCCTGTTTACCTGTTAAATGTAAATCAATTAAGGAACAATAGATTTCCTAAAATTCAAAATCTATTAAAATTCATCCTGTTCAAAAAGGTTTTCATATGAATGGCATAATAGTAATTAAATCTGTCCATGCTGGAAACCCAAATTATATCAATAAACATTATTCCTGGGTTCAGGCCTAGGAAACATGCATTTTGTCTGACCCAAGAACCAAACTAAATTTTCTGAAGTTGTAAAGCCAAAAATAACAGGTTTGTGCAAATTGCATTTTGCCCAGGAACCCAGTCAATAACTTTTTTGTATTCTTTTAAAAATTTGTACCGACTTTCATGTTTGCAATGCAAATAACAAAGGACTATAAATGAATATATGACAACATACAACTTTGGTCCCCATAAATCAACATTTTCAAAAGAGTTAAGGAAGGTTAGACTGTTCTGTAATTTTGTAAAAAAGTTTACATAAGATACATCTTCCATATATTTTTCTCATTTAAATGCACTCGCTGGAAGTATATGACGTCTGAAATGGTGGTATTTTTAGAATCTAATCAAAATGGGACAAAAAATATGCATTTTCATGCCCCTGTAATAAAAGATTTGGGGGCATATAGTTTTTGGTCTATCTGTCTCTTTGTGCATAAAAACTTTAACCTAGTCCATAACTTTTGAACAGTTAGTGGTAGGGCTTTTATATTTCACGTTTGTATTCCAGACCTTTCTTTTAGTACCAATGTTTTTGACCTTGTAGTTTGACATACATGTACTTAAACCTTTGCCATAACTTTTTAACGGTTGGTGCTACAGCTTTCATATTTCATTTATTTATTCCTTGAGACAAGACATTTCTTTTGGTATCAATATTTTTGACCTCATGACTTGACCTTGATTGGAGTATGACCTACTTTTGAAAAACTTATAACATTTTCCATATTTTCTGAATGGTAGGTACTATGACTGTCATATTTCACATGTGTATTCCTTGTAACATGAACTTTCTCTGGGTACCAACAATTTTTTAACCCTTGACTTTGACCTTGGAGTTTGACATACATTTGAAAAACTTAAACCTTGGCCTTGACCTGCCATACGGGGACCATCAGTGTTTCATAAACACATCTTGTTTCTGATGTTTTTTCCTAAGTGAAACATAGAGTGCAGCTTTGAACAAGCAGAATTTTTTTTGTATGTAATTAGTTTTTGATATACACAGCTTTGATGAATATATAATGTTTGTTCCAATCTGTACTTAATATTTTCTGGAAGAAAAATTACTTTAGAATGAGCAATTTTATACAAAATATGCCAAAATTGTTGGAAAAGGTGATGCTATTTTTTCTAAATTAAGGGCATTTGGATCAAATTGAAAATCATGAATAAATGTCAGCTGTTAGCTGTGTAAACCTATACATAAAGTAAAATTAAGATGTTCATATTTAGGGGCCACTTGAGACCCTTATCACATAACAGTCCTTTCATTTACCAGATTCAACTCACTTAATTCTTTTACTGACCACCAACAAATGCAAACTACATGTAAGTTGCCATATGTCATAACGGTCCAACATCTCACCAAGCCGTCCAACATCATATTTTTTGGACCCATGTTCAGTAAAAACATTGGCAATGTTAGACCTATTAAAGTACAGATTTATATTGGAAACAATTTTTTAAGGATGTAACAATGAGGAATACAGGTGAGATGGCACCCAGAATTACTTTTAGCAATGAAATACTGATATACATGTACTTGCAAAAAATAATTTATTCTGAAATCACATCACATATGGTCCTATTTCATACAAAAACTTAACAATAAATACATTGGATGTTGTACAATACCATACAGATTTCTATATGAATAAATAAGATCTGCCCCAACAACATAAGAGGCCCTGTATATAATATCAAGAATGTCTGAAAAACAAAGTACTTAAGATTGTTTTAATCAGTAGTTTACTGGAATCATAGAAAATGGTCGTGTTCAGTGTTATATAATAACATGAGATTCTATTTCAACAAAGGGTGTACTAAATATTTTCTTCACATTTTCATTCTCCACAATAATTTCTCTGCAAATTAAAAGTTAATGATCCTTAAAAAATAACACCAATAAGCATTAACTCATGCTCATTTACTGACTGTTGTCTGGAGTATTAAATCTACCTTTTCACTGGCTGCTGACTACAAATAATGAAAAAATATTGTTTGGAAACAAAAAAGAGCATTTAATGACTTATCTGACATAGTGAATTTTCTCCTCATCAACTTCATAGTATGATACCTAGATAGGCACAGATTGGATTACTCAAATATATCACAACACACAATAGCACCTAGTATACATAGTATGGGAATAATTCCATTATCAGAGCTTTTTCATGTCTGGCATTAAACATAATTTGTACACCTAAACATTAAATACCAATCAAAGATAAACTTTGATTACCTTTTTTAAAACATAAACCTGGAATGGACTTCATCTATTAAGTATTGCATTTAAAATTTATAAAGCCATGGAATTCTATTTTTCTTGGAATATACAGTCAATATCTGATTTTGGAATGTGGTACATATTTCTTAGAATACAGTACCTGTACAAGTCAATAACTGGTTTATCACAGACATTTCACATGGTAACAAAACACTGTAAAATAAAGTCTATTACTTTCTAACATCATTAAACATAAAAAATGCAGCATACACCTTCCTTGTAGTAAAAATATTATGGCAGCATTTTTTGATTACATGTACCACATGCTAACATTTACACACATCAAGAACTGGCAAGAAACTCAAAATTTTTCTCCCCTTATACATTTCTCTCACTCTTTGGCTTTACAAAAACAAACATACTTTATTCTCTATTAACATAACTCACAAATGAAAATTCACAACCAGTCACATGATTCAAGACAGCTACTTCCTGTCACATGACAGAAGAAGCATAAATGATGTTCAAATTGTACAACACAAAATGCAAGAAAATGTGTAGGTAATATCAGTGTCCTAGAGACATTGGATTAAAGCATATGACTGGAATATAAACTACTGGCAGAAAAAGAGGGAGAAGTTCAAATACCTGAGACAAGTTCTTTCCAAAATGATTCTTTTTACCTAGTCTATATGTCACATAGCTTATTCAGCAAATAAATGGCACTTAATCTGAAGTTTTTAACATCATACACTGACTACAATTAATCAGTGTCATAGATTCTGCACATACATTAGCATCCATTTCCAGAACTGGACGAGGTAAGGACAACACAAGCTAACTTCCTGGCAGAAGCCGTCAACATTCATCATCGAGTGAGTTTTTTAAAGATATTTTTGCCCTTGGATAGAAGACTAGAACTCTTCTTTTTATGCTTCACATCTTCTGGAGACGAGGGTCTCTGTTCCGATGGAGGGAGATTCTGATTGGCTACTGAATTCACTGTATCATGTGATAGCTGTTGGTCCAATTGTGAGCCAAGTCCCACTTTCTGCGTCTGCAAGAATTTGAGAGTTCAAAAATTAATTATTTGCCAAGAACGATGACTACAATCATCAGACAATTACTGGTGCCATTAAAAAATATCTTTTATAATAAAATAAGTGCATTAACAAATGGTTTGGGTAACTGATACAAATATATCCATGCTTAATCATTAATATATTTTTTAAAATTAAGTTTGACTTCCCTATTTGGCTTTAAATTTGCTTTTTTATCTTTTTAGAATGTAGACATTGTTAACACTTACAAGAATATTCTTTGCATTGCAAGTCTTTTTTGTACCTATATAAATTTTATTAACCTAGTGCTGAAACAATGTATTGTAAACCTAAAGTGAATTTTGTACAAAAACACGTATTGCTCTCCGTGCAAAAAAAAAAAAAAAATGTATAAAAATATTCTAGATAATAAAAATTTGTTTACGAAAAACCTGTGAATTTGTCTATTACCGAGTATAAAATGGTAAAAGTTGAAATCTTTAAAAATTCCAGTGACCGATCATAAAGAAATATTAACACTTTTCAAAATTTTATAACCCTCTTTTAATGAATCTGTGATATATGCTTTAGTGAGATGAAAATGTAGCATCCATGTGCATGCCAAACCCAGACTTTCTACAAAAATAGGTGTGCTTAAACTTTTAAATTTAAAACTCAGTTCATTTAATATTGATTCTCGGTTATAAATAAGATTTATTGTACGATCGTAATTTTCATTTGAAAATACATATTGTACTAGCAAATCTAATTAAAGCATTCTGGCAATGCAGAAAACAAAGCAATCAATATCACTATATGACCCCAACTTACCCCCCATCATTTGCCTTTATATAAATATTGATAAAAATGTACACATATAACACAAAAAGTATTTATGCAAGCTCAAACACAAAAACTGTTCTTTCCACACAAAAAATTGAAAAAAAAAAAACACTCCCAAACTTAAAAACATTACAGAATTTGGCAATCATAAGTAAAAAAAGAAAAAAATTCACAAGCTTCATATATTTCTTCCCTTAATGATCAAAGAAATTATATGAAGCTTTTGTACACAAACTAACCCTCATTTTGAGGAGGAAATGCTCTGTAAAGGAATATACATAAGAAACAGAGTGTGTGAGCACTACACTTATATGGTGCACTAAAAGAGAAAAAAAATTTTTGATCATGATAAAAAAGTGTAATAACTAAATATATAAAATGAGTGAATTGCAATATTGGCTCAATTTTTACAAACCACTTTTTCCGATATCTCTGTTAAAAGAAGAAGAAAGTTTTGATGAGTGGCAGTGTGAATAAATATTCCTAACAAGAGCATTAGCTCCTCTGACAAAGCAGTGACGATTTCCACGACTGGTTCTGTACTACACAGCATGCAAGTGTATTGTGGGAAGCCTATAGAGTTACAGCAAAACTACGTTCTCATCTGCAGTTCTAAGTGGAAGTGCAGTCTCAGTTTGGAGTTATCTCCTTCTCTTGATTGTAAGAACACACTGTGCTTTTATATTAAATTCACTTTACAATCAAACATTCATTAGATTAAAACCATGGTAATTTTCAAGCTTTTTAAAAAATGTTATGTAGAACTTTGTGTTAATATCATTCACTTCAATCACGATTATGTTTGAAATTAATTTGCAAATAATAATAAATTCAAATTCTTTATGAAAATGCTTTCTTAATTTCCGTACCATAGTTAAAGCAACAAAAAATAAAGATATAGGTAGTAGCAAAAAATAACTCAAAATCATTATAAATAGAAAAATCACGTTTGCAGAGTAGGATTATTGAGATTGAACTGAACACAAAAGGTGAATTTCCACACATGCATGCCTATGTCGACACAGCACCACCTACTTTGTCCGCCGTGAGGTCAGAGTGCCGCGACAAATTACTGAGACTCTCGCCTGACCTGGCAGGGGAGACAATGCTGGCACTCTCGAGGACCTCGTCGTCACTTAGGGGAGCCTCCTGTAAGAAATTGGAGGGGACAAGTCCTCGATGACCATTGCGTTCACCCATGTAGAATCCGTCGTCATCCATGTCACCATATATCATGATTGTGTCACCACTTCTGAAGGCCAGCTCCAGCTACAAATTTGATAAAATAATTACTAAGAAATACTTTTATTTTCAGCGATATGAAAATTTCCTGTTTTGGAAAATTTTAAACTTTTTTATATACAGTGTATACAAGTACAGTGTACCTAGTGCATGTATTCGATGTAAATTACAGATTTGCAAAATACAATGTATCATCAATTCAGTCATCATTTCATACCTCCAGAGATAAAATCAAGCTCTCATTGCAGCAAATAGTTCTTAATAGTTATTTTTTTTATTCCACTGACCTTTGCTATTGTCATAATTAAATCATTACCTCGGCATCAACATTAGGAGATAGTTCTTGTGGATCGTAATCGTACAATGCCACCATTTTTCTGGCCTGTGTGCTGGACATCACTGTGGAGACTTTGGCAGGACTCAATCTACTCCCAAGGTCTGCAGGCTTCATGTAGTTATCTGCTACACAAATGTACAGATAAAACTGTATTTAATCACAAGACAGGTTCGTAAGTCTATTTGGAACAATTATAAATGCTTATTCACAAATTTCTTATTTAGAATAATTTTTGTGTATGGGATACTCAAGGGTATAAGCACTTCATTTGTACAAAATATGAAGTGAAAATCAGCCTAATGTTTGGTTGAGAGAAAAAAAATTCCATGTTTATTAAAAATGTAGAAGCTGTGACAAATTTAAATTGCACTCACTGGATAAATGGATGCTGGGATTGTAGCCCGTCTGCGACTCTTTGAGTAATTGTTCTGCCAGTTCTGTGTCCTCGACTTGGACTTCTGACACCATGTTACATGGCACGAAGCCAACTCGACCATTACTCTCTCCCCGGTAAAAACCATCAGCATCTTTATCACCATAAATCTTTAACAAAGCAGGAAAAAATACAAATCTTCAATCAAATTTCAAAATAAAAAAATTCATAATATATAAATGTACTACTTTATTATGCTGATGTTTCTTTGCATTATAAGGTATAAGAATTTATTTATTTGAGGATTTTTTCTTTTAATTTTCAAATTCTAACTAACATATCTTAAAATGAGTTGACAAATAATTAGTTGTAGTCTAGATTGCATGGTGCTATTAATTTATACAGTCAAGACAAGGTGAGAAAACTTGTTTGATCAGTCACTGACCCCCAGGGAAATCAAGAAATATATACATTTGATAAACAGGTTAAGTAGGTGAGAGCTACAGAATTAGGTTCTAAAATTTAAGTGAGTATACAGAAAATGCACACTATTCTAGAAAAGCTTGTGTAAAGGTCAATGAAAAATGAAGTGATATCAGGGAGATTTTGTTCTGCCTCTGAAAAAAAGAAATTTGTAGCATTTGTTTTTTTACAGTAATTAACTAACTTTTATCAACCTAAAACATTGTCATTACCTTGATTATCTGCCCTTCTTTGAAGGGTAGTTCTTCATCCAGACATTCAACATTAGGTGACATGCTTTCTGGGTCATAGTCGAACAAAGCCACAAACAATCGAATCCGATTGTCCTCAATAGGTGGATTAATTTCTCCACTGATGGAATCCACATCTCCACTGTCATCACAGTCTGACAGATCCAACTGTGGAACATGATGAACACCGCTATTATCCAACCTCCCGTCAGAAATGGTGGAGTCTTGTGACACATCATTAGCATTTGAATCACTGTAAGTCTTGCTGTCCGTTAAATCCTTGTGTGGACTATGATCTCCTTGAGGACTCACCCTCCGAGGACTCCCCCTCTGGGGGCTATTCCGTGGACTTCCGTGACCCGGACTCCTCCTTTTGACAGATCCATGTTCCGGATGTGAACCGTCACCGTTTTTAGGAGACATATGACTTTCTGGATAAAGCCTCCTCCGCGGATCTGTGGCGGTGTGATTGGACATATTTTTGTCATTTTTGTGTTTGAGGTCACTAGTCACATGACTGTCCCTTTGAGGTGAAGCCTCACGGGAATGCCTTGAATGGCGTCCATTACTAACAACCTCCTCACTTGGAGAAACACTGGCACTTGTTGAGGCTGGGGAAATATTTCTATGTTGGCCCTTAGCACCATCCTGAACATGACCATGGGGCACTGTTCTCTTAGTTTTGACTGGAGATTTAGAAATGTCCAACTCCTCTTCTGATATATCCACAGAATTCCCTCTCTCACTGCCACTGTCCCTCGTTATTTCTGAAAAAAGAGATCCATTTTGTTTTTCAATGGAACTTTTTTCTAAATCCCTTTTAATACATTTGTAGGTAGAATGTATTGCTTTTACATACTAGGCCTAATGCACAGGTATTTAAACACATTTTAATTATTTTTGTTGAAAAGCAAAAAAAAATAAATAAATAAATTCAAAAAAAAAATTAATTAATAAATAAATAAATACAAATAAAGTCAATGCTATTTATACTTACCAATTGCTGGTATCCTTGGAGATGACCTTGTCTGTCTTGGTGACGTTTCATTAGATCTGAGAGGAGTGGTTGCTGTTAGTGCCTTTGCACCTGAATTCTATCAAAGGATTTTGTAATTGATAAAAAAACATGATTTAATGTTGGTTTCACATTTTTTTTTAAAATTTGTTTTGAGGTACAGCAACTATTCTTATCCATATTCTACCATTAAAATTTTATGAGTGTTTTATAACATATGTGTTTTATATAATTTCTGAAATTAATAATTTTTTTAAACAATTGATTGATTCAGACATAATTTCTACATATGTAACTAATGACCACACAAGCAATCAGCAAACTGCTATACATAAATATACAGAGATACAATGTTCAGGCAAGATAGGTGGTAGGACAGTGAGAACAAATAATTGCACTGATTTGTGGAGGATTGCTGGGGGGGGGGGGACTATTTTATACATGCTACTGATTTCCCCTTTTCATTTTACATGTATGTAGTGTTATGTGTTATGTTGAAATCCACTAAATGAAACATATTTTTTTGAGTTGAGTTTATCAATTCAAACAGATTTAAATTTTGAAAAAAATCTTTTCAAACACACACTACATGTACCAGCTAGTTGTAAATTAAACCTTTATTTATATTCAAGAGAAATAAGAAAACTTCACACAATTCAACATGGTATCATTAAAAGAATCAAGACAACTCCACACAATTCAACACCATAATTAAATCAAATTTGAGCTCTACTACAACGCACCAAATGCCAGTTATAAAATCTACCACCAAACGATATCTACTGGCTTTTCTCCCATGATGCATTAGTACAAGGGTGCACTCGGTTCACACTCTGTGTGTCTAACCTTGCCAAGTGATGCATGACCGTTAAGCAGTTGAGGGCTGAGTTTAGTGGGAGGCCCTTGAGGGACCTCCTCGGAAAATTCCTCCTCCACCTCCTCTGGAATGTCAGAAAGCTCTGAGGTGCTGCTAGCCTCGATAAAATCATCGTCGTATTCGATATTGTCTAGCACTGGACTCTGTTAAATCGAAACAGGTGGCCCTAGTTAGCAAAGAATGTGCTGGATCATCCCTTCTCAAAGGAATATACCTTACTGTTGGATGTTCAGACCCATAATTTTCCATAATCCGTAAAAAGATTTTTTTTTTTGGTCTCCAGCACAATCTTTGGTGTCCAGACCAAATGAAGAGACCATGCATATTGTTAGATGACCAGTGTTATATATCATGCTTGTTATTGATAAAAGCTTAAGCATTTCAATTATTATTCGTAGAAAGTATAGTATATAGAATTCACTGCTAGATTTCATTAAACTTAACTTTACAGCAATTTCATTAAAAGAGCAATAATTCATTATTAATTAATTTATAAAAGGATTTCAAAAAGAGCAAAATCACAATAAAAATTTGAAAAAGTGTGAAGATTAAGAAAGGTTTTAAATGTGCACAAGCTCAAAAGTTCAAATTCAGAAAAAATGTTAGTAACGCTAACACTTCATTATTAGATAAAGTATTTTGTATTTAATGATAGTGTCATACATTGTTATGTTCTCCTATACATGTATATGCTTATTTCAGTTTCCCAAGGTTTGATATACATGATACAAGCACCGTATTGTATACACTTACTGGGTTTTTTCTTCTTTCTCATTTATAAAGATGGGAAGTGTGTATCCCATAATTCACTACAAATTCATGCAATATGAAATCCTTTATTTAAATCCCCCAGCCCTTCCCCATATTCAGATAAATGCAAGGAATGATAATTTTCCACTACAAATGGGATTACGTACTATACATTTAACTTCCTAGTACTTGGTGTCTTAGGAATTAGTATCATGTTAGTGTGGCAGTCTTCATGTTAACAAGTGAGACAGATACATGCAAAAGTACATCAACAAAAACATATTTTTGTAAAAGAAACAACAAAAAAGAACCCAATTTTGAAGGAAATATAACAATCAGGGTAAATCTGTTGCAGAACTTAAAGCATTCAACAATCTCTTATTTCATTTCTAATCTTTTAATAACAATTTAGAAGGCAAACTAAGTAACTTTGAATGTCATAAAAGTCTTTTTAAAATTTGGAATCTCTGACAGTATGCTTTCAAATTCATTGAAAAGATCATTCAACTGCAAAGGGTTATTCACTATTCAGGTAATAATACACACTGAGGTAGCATATTCATAGTTGATTTCCAAGTTCATAACAGATTTATAAATGTCCTGCGTGTCTTGGTGACTGCCATAATACAAGTACCTATACAGGATTTTGAGTTTGTGTGATAATCCTTAATTTTGAAACAAAAAAAAGTGTAGCTGAAAAGAACAAAACCAATTGGACAGTGAGGAAAGAGGAGAAAGGCTTGTGTAGCAAGCTGTGCACATGAAAATTTCTGGCAGAAATGGGTTGACATAGTTACCATGTTGCGTTCTGCTTCAGCCGCAATGCGATTTATGACAGTATCAATGTCTTCGTCTCCCTCAGAAATTTCTGGTACGATTGAGTTTAGGGGCATTGAGGTCTAAAAATATTTCAGAAATCAGGGGCAAATGCCAAAAATGTAACCATTTCTTTTTTCCACAATGCAGTGATATAAGAATTTCATTATGAAAAGCATGATGCATTTATTTTGAAAAATAAGGATGCACTTCTAAAGAGCTTCATACTTCCCATTTTAACAAATTATTTTGCATAAAATAATTGCTTTCTTATCTAAATACACTGTACACACTGAATAAATTTTAAGTTGATTTTTAAATCAGAACAATTAAAACTCAATTTTAGTCTTTTTCAAAAAAAAAAAGAAAAAAGTTCAATATACCTGGACTGTTTGTTTAGTTGGCATGTCCTTGGTCACCCTTTTGGCTGCCCCATCTGTGATTTCCTGTATGAGTGAGTGGGGTAATTTGATTGGGTCCGAGTTAGAAGATTCTGTTTTGTCTGCAGTCACTGTACGGACCAACAGTTGTTTGGGAATGAAGGCTTGGAAATCATCAGCATTCAGAATGATGTGGTCATCTGAAAGAAAAAAATAAAAGTTATTGTAAAGTACCCATAAATATAACAGTTCAATGAAATGTGAGAAAATAGGAAGAAACAAACTACTAGTGTTATTTATAAGACATCTTTCTGGTAAAATATAAATCTGAATCATGAAACTACACAATACATGTATGCTAAAGCAAATTCTTTGTTGTAAGAAGGCATCTTTCTCTCTCTCCCCCTCCTCCTCCTCTCTCTCTCTCTCTATTGCATCATAGTAACTGCTTTGCTTTAACCTTCCTTGATAACAGTACACAAGTGATATCAACTCCCCACTTACTTGTTGGACCCTGTGCCTCTTTCACTCTTCTACCATCCGCATACACCATGTAACCAGTTACCACTGCACCATTGGAGAAGCCAGAGGAATCTATGGTAACCGGTATCCATGTCAACAGCAGTGTGCCTTCTTGTGGTCCAGCCTCTACCTGGACATTTAATGGAGGCTCTGGGACACCTATATAGTCAAATGAAACATTTACAAAAAATTACCTATAATAATGCAAGCAACTAGAAACTAGAACTGTCCAAAAGGGACAAATACCCCCCGCTGGGTTTTTCAGAGAAGGTACCAAATCACTAATGTTTTCTAGATGTGAGAGGTGTTCACAATTTGCTTAAACATTTAGAGTGAGAATTTAATTACTCATTATATTTTTTTTAATGAATGAAACTAATGTGCAGCCTAATAAAACATCAATACTATAAATAATTACAGTGTTTTTTATTACATTGAAAAAATAGTTTGCAGCTATCTGTCATCTTTGTGAGATATGACACTCTGCAAATTGATTGTTGAAAAAAAAATATCATAATTAATTTTACAAAGTCAAATTGATCCTAATACCTTTATATCAAACTCATTTTAAAAATAAAAGGCTGGTTTTAGTAACTATATATTTTGACAGACATAAATTACAATATTAAGAGGCTTAGACAACAGAGATCTTTATTTCTTTCTGCCCAATTCCCAGGAGATATAGATAAGACCTGCTTGATCAGAGATGCCCTAACAGCTTCCCACACTGAACTCATTAATTAATCTTTAACTGAATGCATGTCCACTCATTATTCCAAAGGGACAAATAGATTTACACTATCTGCTGTGTAATGCAAAAACTGTTTTTAATATTTTGTGATTTTTTTTTAAGTTCTGATGAGTAGTTTTAAGCTGTAGTTCACATTTTTGTACAGATGTTCTAGATTCTATGTCTCAAACCTTAGACATGAACCCGAAATGACTAAGTCAATAAAAATGAAAAAAAAAACACCTGTAAAATGCAGAAAAATTATCAAATAATGTTGAAAATACCAGGTGCACATCTTCATATGGTAAATAATAAGTGTACAAATTTTCATACAAATCTATGCAATAGTCTCTGGGAACAGATCCGAGTTATTAGAGTGAAAATTTAATTACTCATTATATTTTTTTTAATGAATGAAATTAAGGTGCAGCCTAATAAAACATCAATACTAATAATTACAGTGTTTTTTATTACATTGAAAAAATAGTTTGCAGCTATCTGTCATCTTTGTGAGATATGACACTCTGCAAATTAATTTTACAAAGTCAAATTGATCCTAATACCTTTATATCAAACTCGTTTTAAAAATAAAAGGCTGGTTTCAGTAACTATGTATTTTGACAGACATAAATTACAATTAAGAGGCTTAGACAACAGAGATCTTTATTTCTTTCTGCCCAATTCCCAGGAGATATAGATAAGACCTGCTTGATCAGAGATGCCCTAACAGCTTCCCACACTGAACTCATTAATTAATCTTTAACTGGATGCATGTCCACTCACTATTCCAAAGGGACAAATAGATTTACACTATCTGCTGTGTAATGTAAAAACTGTTTTTAATATTTTGTGATTTTTTTTTTAAGTTCTGATGAGTAGTTTTAAGCTGTAGTTCACATTTTTGTACAGATGTTCTAGATTCTATGTCTCAAACCTTAGACATGAACCCGAAATGACTAAGTCAATAAAAATGAAAAAAAAAACACCTGTAAAATGCAGAAAAATTATCAAATAATGTTGAAAATACCAGGTGCACATCTTCATATGGTAAATAATAAGTGTACAAATTTTCATTCAAATCTATGCAATAGTCTCTGGGAACAGATCGGGACAAAACCACATATTAAAAATGAAAAAAACACCTGTAAAATGCAAAAAAATTATCCAATCATGATGAAAATACCAGGTGCACACCTTCATATGGCGAATAATAAGTGTACAAATTTTCAGACAAATCCTTGCAAGAGTTTCCAAGAAATGGTCCGGACAAAATCTCGTCTACAGACAGACGGACAGACGGACATGCTGATTCCAATATACCCCCCCTAAACTTCGTTTGCGGGGGGTATAAAAAGACAGATTTTCCACTACTTTTTTAAGCTTACTTAGAAAATTAACAAACTCCAGACAGACTTCAGAAATGTTGGATTTTTAGATTTCAACATTATTTGTACACATTTTACAGCTCTAATGAATATTCTGTTTGTACTGCACAATGCTCCAGGTAAAAGTTGATCCCTGGTGGCACATTCTTAAACAACATTAAAATATGGTTGAAAAACTGAACATTAAGCAAAATTTGTTCCATGAAAAAACACAAACCTCCAGATGCTGTTTTGAAGACGACAAACGCTGACAAGTGATCCTTCCTGTTGCTGGACAGGCTGTCAGCAGAAATCGACACCTTGTGTTCTGAGGCAGGGGCCAGCCCTATAATTACAAAGTATGTCAATTAATTCTACCAATGTCTAAAAATCTAATTCAACGAATGCACTGCATGCAATGATGTAGGATATGGCAAAGATTCATGCGGAGGATAGGACAGATTCAGTTTGTCACAAATGACTCCTTGTTTAATATTTGGTTTACAGATTTTAAGGTCGGCATAAGAGAACCCACATGGCATGTTATTCCTATTAATTTGTTATTCCTTTTTACAAATGAATTAAGAATTGCTTAGGAATGTGTGTGCTTGCATTGTAAATACTGTTTTTATCACAGTAATGCCATTTTAAGACGAATTACAATAAGATCACAGTTAAATTGCAAGAATAATTTTTTATGCTATAAAATAAATTCTAGCATACAAATAATAAAAAAGAAAACCATGGCACCCAAAATTTCAAAAGTACTGGTATACAGAATTAAGATACATGTCTATTTGACAAACTCTAACAATACACTTATAATACATTATACAATAAATATTATATATGCAAAAAAGCATTTATACTGAGTGATATTATCTTACATTTCTAGCAATGGTAGGGATAATAAAAACAAGGAAAAAGGACCAAAATTCCAAAACCATGAGATTAGGGACATTTTTTTAAAATCCCTAAATAGTTAAATTGATTACATGGATATTTATTAGTAACTCAGAAGATGCTTTTGTCCTTCCTAGACCCACATATCATTCACATACAACATAGGACATATCTTCTGAACCTGAACTGTCAGTATATCTTGGTTTGCTACCTGTCAGTGTATGAACACATAGCCCTGGCTTGACTACTTGAACATCTCGTCCGTTAACACTTAGGGTGTGGCTTAAGTTACTGTTACCCGGTAACCATGAGATTTGGGCGGAGTTAGAAGTAATTTCGCTAACTTTCAGGTCGCTAGGAGCAGGAACGGCATCTAGACAAGGTAACAAAAAAGGTTCAAGGTAGATGAAGGCCAGATACAGGTGAAATCAGTGGAGGACAGAATCATACAGTGCTGGTTAAAAATATTCACAGCTAAAAAGCACAAGTATCATTTTTTTTCAAGCAGAGGTTATAAATAGTACAACATAGTGTTATAGAATTATAAATTTCATAAAATAGAATGCTAATCTCACATTATTTTCAAAATGTGAAATTTTTCTGTTACTTTCTTAGAAGAAAATAGAAGCCAAAGCCTTCAAAAATATCACCATTACTGCATCAGAAATTGCTGATGGACAGAGAAGCTTTATTTCATTAAGAAGTTTGAAGTTGATTTCCATGATATTAAAAAAAGTCCACGTGAAAGGTTAATTATGCCAATAAAATGAATACGAATTATATAAAAGAAAACTTGCTGTGCTATAGTGCACGTCCTTGACTAGCTGTACATGGGTATATATTGGGTAATTAGACTGACCTTTGCCCACCAGCATGGTACACTGACTGTCAGCTGACTGGCCCATGTTTGAGTTACATCGTACACTGACTCTATGGACCTGTAACAAAATATCAGAATATTCATTCAAATTAAACTATGAGAACAGTGATACGAAAATGAGATACGAAATTTCAATAAATGCCCTACTTTAAGAAACATTTCTATTCTTCATTGGCCTCAGATGATTTTAACAAATTTAATAACAGAAATTTTGGAATTTTCTATGCACCCTGGGTGCTTCATGGGTCAAATACAGTACCTCTAAACATACACACTCAAAAAAAAAATCAACAGAATGAACCAATTCATTCATCTTTATCTTCTCTGTTTTCAGGACATATAAAGAACAAATTACAAATAAAACAAGAGATGTTTGTGAAACACTTCTGCCCCCCCCCCCCCCCCCCCCGACATACATTATAGGGTGCACAAGCCTTAAGGTTTATAACTCTGTCAAAAATTGCTTGATCATACCCAAAACAGAACTTGACCTAGATATTCTTATAATAAATCTGTATATTAAATTTCATTTCAGTATGTGCAATCTCTGCAAAGAAAATGAACAGAAACTGTTGGTGAACCAACAGACAGACAGACAGACCTACCAGCAAAGCAATATGCCCTCCCTTCTTTGAAGGAGGGCATAAAAATTGTAAAGTCGTACAACAGAATTGTGTCATTATGTGAAACATTAATTCACCTCCTTTGAATCTACATTCTCCAGTAATGCTTTCGTTCTCTCATTTTTGCGCACCAGGGATTTGAACACTCCATCAACATAAACATGATATGACTTGACATCCAGTTTGTTGTGGTCAAGTGGTGGTTTCCAGCTGATAACAATACTGTTGGTCAACTGTCTGTCCAGGGTCAGCTCTCTGGGACAAGGCAACACTATAATAAATAAAATTCTTGAAAAATCTCCTCTCATTTTGTAATTGCATGTATTTTAGTTTGATTTTTCTACCTCCATCCAATCTTTTGGTTGAAAATTGGCAATAATCCACGTAATTTATTTGATTAATACTTCACAGAAATCTAACAATAAAAGTCTTATTAGAATATAAACTATATTGAAAAAAAAAAACATTTCCTGGAAATATTAATATCCAATGATTGTAAATCTTCACTCACTTGAATCTGATGGCTGACTCTGTACCCTTATAGAGGTCAAGGCTTTACTACTGTCTAAGAGGTCAAGGTCATCTACATCACTACCATGGTCACTAGCTGGACGGCTGTTTGAACGACTGCTGCTTTGGTTTATTTGTGGGTAAAGTTTGTCAGATGCAGGTTTCAGATCTGCTGATTTTCGTCTGGAGTCTGATGAAAAAAAAATAAAATAAAATATGATTTTCAGTCAGATTCTACAATGGTTTAAAGCACAAAAGCCATTAATTTTTCATCTCCTTAATGACTGCTATTCAGAGGCAAATCTGCAGAATTATACTTGAGAAGTCTAGTGTAGTTGTCAACTACATTGTACTTAAAATTAAAATCAATAAACTTAATATATTGATAGCATAGATTTGTTTGAACTAATTTCTTCAGAACAAAAATGATTGATTCACTTGAAAAAAGAAGGAAACCTTTCCTTTACGTTATCGACATACTTATTCCATACAGCCAATCTAAAATAAGGCATTAAAATTCATACCATCTCTCTACTGTGCAGTAAATAAATCAAACCCAGTAAGGAATATTGTTACACAGTCTTTACCAGCCTTTAGACAACAATTACACATATATTTCAAGGTCCAACCTAGGAGGTGACTGAGATTTTGAATCCTTACCAGATTTTGAACAAGGAGAGAATTCTCTGCATTAATTACAAGTCTAATATTTTTTTCATTCACTATTGTAAGTTCATCTTACTAAAAAGAATTAAGAGAGGAAATGAAATAATACTCCCCATATAGCCATTTTTCTGCAGCAGTTTAAAAATCTCAGCAAAAGTCAAATCTACATGAAGTGTATCTTTGGGCTATAAAAATGAGTGAAGCAACACATCAGGTAAATATAACAATTTAAACATGTCCTCACCCTTAGCTCCGACGTCCTCACTGCTATCATAGTCCAGGTCCTGTTGTATGCTGTTACCAATGATACTGTCGTCATCATGATGATTAGCATCTGACATGGCAGCATGAAATTCAGCAAGATCTTCATCTGTAATTATTTTTTAAAACATTGTATTTACATGCCAGAATGTATGGCTTAGTGGTATAAAAGATAAGGCTGGCTAACAAGAGGTAATCAGTTCAAATTCTTGTGTGCAGGTGTTCAATAAAGCAGGTGTTTTTCAAGCAAATTATTCTATATCACGGATGTTTCAACCACCCTGGTTGTGAATGAGTACACACTTTTTCTGGGATGTTAACTTGTAATTTAAAAATTGGACCGACATTTAAAGATGAGGGATCTATGTTCATGACCCACTTAAAACAGTTTAAATTTGGTTTCAAACTCATCCTTCATTTGAAATCTAGATACTATAGACTCAATAATAATCTATATAATATACCTGATACTTTTTCTATGAAGTTTGAAGGCACAAGTCCTCTTTTACCATTCAGAAGTTCCCCATCATAGAAACCATCCTGTATAAAATTGAAGATCAAGGTTAAGAGCCAATACTCCCAACAGGAAAACAAGTCATAACAAGATACTGAAGTCCAAGGATAAACCAATGTCTTAATTTTCATGATTTTAGGTCACATCATGTGTAAGATATGATTCAAACACATTTCCTCTATTTCAATGGTACATAATGTGAATCTCCTATTCCACAATGTTCATACATACAATGAAATTATTTTCATCATTGAAAAGTTAAGCTGATGTTTTTTTGGGGTTTGTTTGTTTGTTTGTTGTTGTTTTTTTTTTTTTTTTTATTTTTTAAATATTTCTAATTGTCTGCCAACCTCATCCATTTCTCCATAGACCAGAACATAGTCGCCAGCACTGATTGGAAGTTCCGCATCTGGATTCTCATTGGGTGAATACTGGATCGGGTCGTAGGAGTATTTAGCCTGGAACACTTGAATGGGACCTTTCTTTGCAAGGATGGACAAGCGGTTGTCATCTACGGCATTTATTTGCATCTGAGAAGAAAATAGACAATCAATTAGCTTATTTATTGAAAGAAAAATATATCTATCAGAAAAATTAGCTCTTTCATAATTCTTGTAAATTATAGTTGGATTGATTATAATTACTGATCAGCAAAGTATGATGTAAAATGATGAATGAAAATCCACTGAATTCATGACAATGCCCTTGTTTTACTGTATCTGTCAAAATCATGCCTCTTCAAGTCAACATGAGCCAAAATGGAAAATTAACCATTGTTTTCTGCCATTTATCGGTCATTAAACTATTTTCAACACCATATTTTAACCATGCTTGTACATGAATACACCCAAAGGATTTCTCCCATTAAATTTTATTGATTTTTCCCTTAATAACTTCAGAAATGTAGCTAAACTTGTTGCTGGGATGTAAACACACTTCTTACTATATGAAAGTTGCTAGATATTGATAGACTCAAAGAATTTTCATCATTGTTAATTACATCAAATAAAAACAGTCACAACAATCCTAGTTTTATGGCAAATTTAGGGAAATGGTTATCGCATAAAAATGGCAACAAATTCTTCTCACACCAATTCATGGAGCCAAATTGGCAAAGTGTGAGGTCTATTTTCAGTTCTCCATTCCTATCATTTATACAATGAAATTTCAGTATTTTATGTGTCTAATAACACCTTGAAACAAATATATTGCTAACACTGCCAAAATTAATATGTACTGTAATGAGATGATGCCAAATAGACAAAAGTTATCTGCCCTTACCTTTTGCTCCTTCTGACTATCCATCCCCGAGTCTTCCCCTCGATCTGAAAAAAGACAACAGCATCCAGTAAAAAGCCACTGAAAAAAGTTCAGCTCTCGGTCCACCATCATACAAACTGTCAAATTACGTTTCTGCAGTCTATTGATACAGTGTAATAGTGGTGATTTTAATGTGCAGAAATTTGTAATAACCTTAATGGATGTATAAAACTTTCCCTATCTCTTTATCTTACCCATGAGATGTATATGTTTAGTGGAGACCATGAAATATAATATTAAATTCCATACAGTTAGTTTATTTCAGAGGTTGTTTAGTAATATGTTAGTAGGAATTAAGTTAATGTCATTCACAGCAAAGGAATAATGATCAGTACAAATGTGGTACATATAGGTAACAGTAAAAACATTAGGACAGCTCTCGAAAGAATGACAATCTTTTACGATTTGTCTATATTTCTGCGGACAAGAAATTTCAAGAAATCTCTCCACTGCAATGATATTTCGGATAAATCTAACAGAGATGGAGGTTATGTGGATCAATCCCAAGATAAATACACTGAAAAAAAAATGTCGCCACCAGTGCAAAAATTAGAAATAAAAGCGATTATGCTAATACTACCACAACAATTAATAAAAGCTGTCATGTGGTTACCAAAAGCAAAAACAAAAAAGAAATAAATAAAGGGACCAAAAAAAAAAAAAAAAAAACATAAACAAAACAAATGGGCCAATCACCTTCACATAAATTATCCTCTTCAGAATCTGAAGCTTCCAGCTCTTTTAATTTTTTGGCAATTTCGTAAAGTTCTGGGTCTTCAAATTCCCCTGGGGGTTTGGCTTGGTCAGGGGACGGATTATTTGAATTGTCTAAATCTTCATCATCAGCAAAACCTATGTACAGAATTTACAAACTACAATTTTGTTAAATTTGTGTTTAATTCTAAATCTTCAACTGATCTTATATACCTCTGGCTATTAATACACCCCCACCCCCAAATTTTGGCTTTTTTTTCAAATTACAGTATCATTTCAAATGGACTTTTAAAGTACATGTACTCCATATGTATTAATGTTTTAATCCAATCTTATTCTGAAAGTTAAGACAAAATCAGAAATATTAGAAGAAGGTATGATTAATAACAGATTTTTTGGGTATGTGTCTTGGATTCCAAAAATGAATGTTTAGTTAAGATCATGATTGTGTGAAAATCATTAAAGGTGTAGAATGAGGACAACTGAACATAAAAGCCAGGCTCCCAATGAATATTAAGATAAAAGATGATGGGGTACCAATTAAGGACCATGCACTGACTATATCCAAAGGCAAGATAGGTCATATACTAAATGGGAATCAATAATGATTTGAACACAGATTAAAATAACAATCATATGCAGAGTGTATAGTAATTGCATATATTGTACAGAGGTTATATTGTGTATTTTTCTGATTAAGAATTTCCAGTTCTAGTGAGTTGCATATACACTTATCATAAAGCATTGCAGATACCAAGCCATTTAATTAATCATGAGATAAAAACACATCAGACTGATGTATCCTTATCAATAGCCATATATCTGGCCTCTGACATAAAACAATAATCGCTGTCATTCATTGTAATAACGTTAAAAGGTTAGCCAATATTTTGATAGCAACAACAGTAGATAAAAGCCTGATAATGACAATTAATTGTAGAATTTCCATATAGGCCCAGAAACAATCATTATACTAGGTAATCCAGGCCTCATCAGAAGTTATGATGTAGGGACAGTTTTAATACCTGTGTCTAGAGACTTGGTGGAGTCCACCTGAATATTATCATTTCCTGGAAACCTACTCGATTCTGTCAAAGGCCCTGCATTTGATTGCTGGAAGTTCTCTAAATATAGAAATTGACATATCATTAAATTGTTTGTGCATTTAAATTTAATGTCAATTATCTATTTTTAAAAATAACTTATTAATAAAGTTTTTTTTTTGATCATGAAATACTGACCTTTAACTTGAAAATGATTAGAAACTAAGGAACTCTTTTGATTGGATGAATCTTTGTGATTGGATGGACTGTGATTGGCTGGATAAGATGGGCTGTGATTGGCTAAGTCTTTATAATGAGATGGACTATGATTGGGTGGGTGTTTGAAGTTGTTTTTGCCAGCTGCTGATCTTAGTGTTGTCAGTTCTTGTGTCAGTTCCTGATGTCTCTCATCCTGTTCATGACACTTTTGCTGAAGTTCAGTAACACGACTCTGCAAGTTCAAGTTAAAGGTTATTTGCTATATATCAAACCTATCTTAGACTACCAAATACAGAGGGGCAAGTTTAAAGGTAGCATTGAAAACAGATACAGTAAAACATGCTTATAATGAATTGACACTTACAGCGAAGTGATTCTCAATCCCTGTGGCTTTAGAAAATATTGCGTTATCTTAATGGATACAATTAATACTTTTATAACGAAGCAAAATTGTCTGTCCCTGGCACTTCATTATAAGTGTGTTTTGCTGTATGTAGAATATCACTGCTCTCTATTTGTGACTTTACTGTACTGAATAAGTATATAGTATTCTAAGCCACTTTATATATAATTCCAATCAAGTTACCTCTTTATCATATCAAAATTGCAATATTTTGTGTCAGTAAGTCAACCACAATGAAATTTGTTTGAATGCAGCAGTATAAAAGTAATATTTATTGACCAGAAGAATATGACACCTAGATACATAATTAATGCAAAGTAAATCACCCATCTCAAACACTCTGAGAAAACTATAATTACCACAATTTAAACAGTTGCTTTCATCCCTGTGTAAAACACATTCATGAAGAAGATGAAAAGAGTGTTAACCAGACTCATGAATATTTATGAAATTTAAGAGAAGTTTATTGATTACCTTTAGAGAGTGCAGGGCTTTATCATATTCCTCTTTGGCATCCTGTTGAGCCTGAAATAAAGAAGAAATCAGATGAAATTACCACTTTCATCCAAGCAATCTTAATTCCTGGCTTCTTGGCCACTAATGACATTCAAACATTAAACATAAATTGGTCATACTAGTAACCTGCAGAGAAAAAGCTTAATCGTTAGTATAGCAAATTGTAATTTCATAAACCAAACACTGACAATTAAGCTGGTTATTTATTATTCATGAAATCTAGGAAAAATGTGTATTGAGCTATCTGAAACCTGCTAGCAGTTTAATTTGGTGTAAAATTTATGAAGTGACATTATGAAATAAACTCTATAGCTTGTTGTTTTTAAATATAAAAATCAAATATTTTCATATCTTTTATAAAAATCTTAAGAAATATATGGCATAAGATGATCAAAATGCATAATGAAGCATTACTTAGTACTCAAGTGGTGATAATGTAATTGTTGTTGCATTGTATTACATGTTATATGTAATGAATAAAGTTGCTTGCACTTGTCATTTAATTGCTGTAGAATTGTATTACATACCTGTTGTAATGACTGGATTGGGTTACATTTGTCATGTAATTGCTGTAGTGTTGTATTACATACCTGCTGTAATGACTGGATTTGGTTACTTTTATCATGTTATTTTTGTAGTGTTGAATTACATACCTGCTGTAATGACTGGATTTGGTTACTTCTGTCATGTAACTACTGTAGTGTTGTATTACATACCTGCTGTAATGACTGGATTTGGTTACTTTTGTAATGTTATTTTTGTAGTGTTGAATTACATACCTGCTGTAATGACTGGATTTGGTTACTTTTATCATGTAATTGCTGTAGTGTTGTATTACATAACTGTTGTAATGATGTTATTTGGTTACTTTTGTATTGTTATTTTTGTAGTGTTGAATTACATACCTGCTGTAATGACTGGATTTGGTTACTTTTATCATGTAATTGCTGTAGTGTTGTATTACATAACTGTTGTAATGATGCTATTTGGTTACATTTGTCATGTAATTGCTGTAGTGTTGTATTACATACCTGCTGTAATGACTGGATTTGGTTACTTTTATCATGTAATTGCTGTAGTGTTGTATTACATAACTGTTGTAATGATGTTATTTGGTTACTTTTGTCATGTAATTGCTGGAGTGTTGTATTACATACCTGCTGTAATGACTGGATTTGTTACTTTTATCATGTAATTGCTGTAGTGTTGTATTACAAACCTGCTGTAATGACTGGATTTGGTTACTTTTATCATGTAATTGCTGTAGTGTTGAATTACATACCTGCTGTAATGACTGGATTTGGTTACTTTTGTCATGTAACTACTGTAGTGTTGTATTACATATCTGCTGAAATGACTGGATTTGGTTACTTTTGTCGTTATTGCTGTAGTGTTGTATTACATACCTGCTGTAATGACTGGATTTGGTTACTTTTATCATGTAATTGCTGTAGTGTTGTATTACATAACTGTTGTAATGATGTTATTTGGTTACTTTTGTCATGTAATTGCTGTAGTGTTGTATTACATACCTGCTGTAATGACTGGATTTGGTTACTTTTATCATGTTATTTTTGTAGTGTTGAATTACATACCTGCTGTAATGACTGGATTTGGTTACTTCTGTCATGTAACTACTGTAGTGTTGTATTACATACCTGCTGTAATGACTGGATTTGGTTACTTTTGTAATGTTATTTTTGTAGTGTTGAATTACATACCTGCTGTAATGACTGGATTTGGTTACTTTTATCATGTAATTGCTGTAGTGTTGTATTACATAACTGTTGTAATGATGTTATTTGGTTACTTTTGTCATGTAATTGCTGTAGTGTTGTATTACATACCTGCTGTAATGACTGGATTTGGTTACTTTTATCATGTAATTGCTGTAGTGTTGACTGATGCTCATTCTCTAGTTCCTGCAGACGATCTGCAGATTCCTTTAGATTCTGAGAAATGAAAAGAATTCCAATTTATTAACTCTAGAATTAAATCAAAGATTCAGACAATGGGGAATTACGAGACACATGCTGACAATGGCCAATATTTCCGGCTGGAATATCAAAGCAAGGTATCGGAAAGCATAAGGATCAATGGAGCACTTTTAAGGAGTTTTCAATGAACGATAATTACAACTAAAGGTACAGACGATCTGCTCATGTGTAAATAGCCTCAAGTAATGGCAGCATACATTCTCCTCCCTTAGGAATGGCTGACATCATATGGAGCCCAAATTTAGCAATATATTTCTTTTCTTTATTGTGTGTTTCTATTTGTGGAATTCCATACATGATAAATACATTTTGGGAAGACATTTTTTTTTCTAATTTGAGTGTGATAATTTTAATTGATTTATAGGTATTTATGCACAATAGAAGTAAACACAAGAGTGCATTCCAAGTTTAGATGAATTCCTCAATCTGAATCCAATTTCTATACACAATATCAGTAGCTCTAGTCCAGTGATTGAATTCTGACACAGTTTATCTACCAATACTTCTTCCTTATCTTTCCTCATAAACATTCTCTATATATGCTTTAATCAATATTACAATGATTATTCTATAACTTAGGCACTTGTGTGTCAATATACCATAAAAAACAGTTGCTTTTTCTATCTCTGTATGTTGAACAATATTTCCTCTATTCTATCATTTCTGTGTGAAGTGTCCATTTTGTTAAGATTAGGGGGTATTTGTGCTCAGATTTGGAGAAGAAGAATATAACAAGTGATCTACATGCAAGTCTTCTTCCAAGGATTTGTAACCTATGAATATGTAAAAGTAAAGAAAGATTCAAATCAAGGAAGTAAAATACACAGAAACCCATTAAAGAGGCTTTGGAGAAAACCTAGACTGCTGAAAATACCAGAGGTCTGCGGGCATTTTTGACGACCTACTGGATAAATGCTAAGCCATAATAAAAACTTGTCTAGAGGTTTTTTTGATTCCCTAGTGGATAAATGGATAAATCTATGCCATGATAAATTGTGTCTCTAGGAAAAATAGCTTTCCAATTATTTTTATATAATTGATCACAATTTCTGTTTTATATTTATCAAAAGTAATTGCTGTGGAGTCAGTATGGCACCTGGTCTATATTTAGAATGGTTTATACATGAAAAACAGAGAATCGAAGGGAAAAAAAGTTAATTTTGTGCTATTGACATTATCTTTTAAAAGAACAAAACTTTCCTGATCTTTAATACTTCAGAGTAGCTTGTTTTATTTGACTATAAAGCAATCAAAACATTTTTGTTGTCATTTTATATACTGTAAAATCAATTATTTTCATGGGGTCAAATTTTCCTGGTTTGAGGAAAATATATTGGTTCATGGGGATTTGATTTTGTAGATGAATAAGTGCATAGCTGTTATTTATTTTGAAATTTTACATTTTGTGGAAGACATGAATTCGTAGGTATCCTCATACCATGAAAACAACAAAAATTAAACCCTACAAAAATTAGTGATTTCACTGTATCCTGAATACTGGATATTATTAATAATCAAGTAAACTGTTTGTCTAATTTAGACACATTTGGCTGTTTAGACTAACCCCCACCCAATCCAATCCATTAACAAAATCATAAAAATACACCACTTGCTGCAGTTCACAAATTTTCTCCCCAATCACATAAAAGATCTTAAAATTATAAACTGATTATATACTAAAATTGAAAGTTCCAAAGTTTTACTTACTTTGATGGTTTCCTCAAGGTTTCCTACTTTGACCTGGAGGGTGCTTCGCTCGTGTCTGGCTTGGTCACATTCATGCTGGGCTTCAGAAAGATTTAGCCGTAAAATGTTACACTCCTCACTAACCTAAAAAGACATAAAAACAGGATGTACACTCTCAATAATGAAGACCTGTATTTAAAAACAAAATGTATCATATAAATTTTTTCTTTCTTTCTTTCAATATGGGAATTTCCAATTTCAGTCATGATCTGCAAAAAAAGTCGTTTTTGACAAAATGTGGAACCTCCATAAAGAAAAGTCTTATATCTTATCCTAGTCAATTAATTCACTTCTATTCATCATGCCATTTATTACTCTATTATGCTACTGTAATCACATTAGCTTAAGAGTTGGATTCAATGTTAGACATGGTCTTTTTGCCCCCCCCCCCCCCCAGCAAGATTAATTTAAAATATATTAGAAAAAGTTAGGTTATTTTTTTCATCTACCCTGAAATCCTCAGCATTAATTCCATCCTATTTTGGCACCAATTAAATTAACATTTAGTCAGACTTGGAAGTAATTGTTTTTCAATGAATCATGGTGATTAACAAATTGCTAAAAAGAAAAAAAAAACTTAGATGTCAAAAAATGTTCCAGAACGGACTTTTGTGGTGTTTGAATTTCAACTGCTCCTAAAGTTTTAAACAATTTTAAACAATTCACATAAATTTACTTCATTAGAATCTATTCTACACAGGTTGAGATTATATACAGAATATACACTTGTCTCCCAACTGAATCCTCTTGGAGTGGAGTGTTTACAAAATTTAAATAATCTGCCCTGAAACAATTGTCCTTCATTATAATGCCACTCACATTAATACTGTTGTTAAGATATGGCAAAAGAAAAGTCTCACTACGCTGGGGTCCACTAGTTCTTGTACAGGAACACATCTGTCCCATTATAATTATTTCACAACAATTTCGAAAGTAAAATAATGTGTCAAGTAACACCTCCAATCATTGTGGCACAACAGCAACAAATTGTTGACAAATTCCATTTGACCCCTGGCATTCCAATCTGGCCAAGCAATGTCTAGTTATCTCCATTTAGAGTAAATAAATTCAATGAGAGAGTCTGATGCCACCTATTATACACACATCCAAGTTTGCCACCAAACTGTGAAAATCAGATCTTCCTCTCTGTTGTATGTGAATGAAAATCAGTCCTCTACAACATGTCACAGGTGGTTGTCACCTGACCTCATTTTTCTCATTAGAAAGCATTAATTAATAATAAATGCCAATTCAATAAATAATTTTCATTTTCAGTACATATACACAGTTAATAACTATAATTTCCAATAGAATGTTTAAGTAGGGAGGGAGAATTGAACATGAATAAACTGAGCTGCAAACTTTTTGTTCCCAAAAAAATCAATTTGATGTCATCTGTCTTCAAAGACCTTTGCATCACCAAACAACATGGTAAAGTGTGCCAACGACATCCTCAACCCGGTGTTACAAAGAACTCCAGAAAGAATTCTAATGGTTTTCAATCAATACCGATAATTGTTAAAATAATGGCTCCCTTTAATAATAACCATATTATTTAGGTGTTCAGCGATTCAAATGCTGATTTTTCTTTCAGGTCACCTGGGACAAAAAAACCTGGTGGTGAAAATGGGGGGGCAATTACTTGTCGCAGTTATATTACCAATTGCATATAGAGACCTAGAAAAGAGACATTAAAGCAACTGCATCACAAACAAATGCAAACAGTTTGATATGATTCATGTCTAATTACAATTAACCAGGTGCCTAGTGAGATGGATCAATAATTCCCACCACTCCAACATAATAACTAGAGGTGTAAGTGCATTAATCTGTGGTAATATGCCACATTTATCACTTAGAGCCATTTTAGGCAACAGACTTACATGATAGTAAATATCAATTTTCCCATTACACAATGCAACCCCTACGGTATTTTACAAATAGTTTTCAACTGCTTGACTGTCGGTAGTTTAATGAAATACAGTCGATAATTCCGCCCTAACTTTTACTTGTGGTGCCATCTTATTGGAGTTCAATAAATAATCAATTTTCATTCTTGAAGCAATGTCACTATGTTTACAATGCATATATGCAATTAACTTTTGCATTTATGAGATGTGTATCTGTTTCAAAGCAATATTTTTGTCATAAAAGTACCGTACTACAAGTTTACATTTACTAAGTCATTTCTTGGATTCTTTCATCAACAGGAAAGTGTTTATGAATCAATTAAGACTCCATCACAAACAGTTGTAATTTACATGCAATTCCTTTGACCTTAAAAACCCTGCAGACAAATGAAATGCTCAACATATTCCTTGCAGTTCTTATCATAAATAAATCAATGAAAATAGGAAGAAAACAAACCCAAAATAATTAACTAAATTGACTAACTCTCCAGTACTTGAGGGAACTTTGATAAGATTTGTTTCAATGATTTGAACAATATATTTTTATTGTATCACAAAAGGACTGGATACAAGTTCAATCCTTTCCTTGTAAAAATTATTACAATGATTGTCAAAATTTTTTTTTTATACAATTACAGTAAAATACAGTTACAGCAAACGTGCTTCTAATGAATATACACTCATGGCAAAATGATTTTCATTTCCTGTAGTTTTAAAATTTATAATGAACTTATTGGATATTACGTCAATTATGTTTATAATGAATCAAAATTGCTGGTCCCTGGCAATTCACTTTGAAAATAAAATGCTTACAACAGTTGTCAAACAAACAAGTTTGCACATATGAAGCTGATTCTGAATAAAAAACCAGTCTGCTATATGAAGTTCAATGATTTGTCAAGGTCTTAACATCAGTAATCATCCTGGTACAGCAATTAGAAGAAATAGTGATTATATCTATTTTATGAAGACTGACCATTAAGTATAAGATGTTTGGGGCAACACTATATGGGATGTAAAACCCTCACTTATATCTGCATCTTTATGATTTAAAGGCAGACTAGCAACTCTGAAACTGTTTATCATTATTAGTTATTAACAAGGAATATACATCAATGACATACCGTAAAACATTCTCATAACAAAGTGCCAGGGATGGACTATTTTGCTTCTTTATGAACATAATTTATTGTATCTGCATGTTAAGTTCACAATATATTTTAAAGTCACAGGGAATGAAAATCACTTTGTTGTAAGTGTCAATATACTATAAGCATGTTTTATTGTATCAGTTTTTGTCTATCGTAACTGTTTATATGGATATATAGTACAGACAAACCTCATCATCTCAAACTTGGGACCAATAAAAAACTTCAAGTTATCTGAGGGTTCGAGATATCGAGGGTAAAATACTTAAGAAATACATTTTTAGGATTTCCAAATCACTTCGACATGTCCATGGTATTCGAGATATCCAATTGTTCGAGATACCAAAGTTCAACCGTATTACTATTAACAAAAAGTTATTTCAAGCAACTAAAATCAAATTACATGTACATTCAAAGGATTTTTTGATAATAATAATCATTCCTCAATGAAATTATTAAAAATATCAGAAAGAAAACAAAAATTGAAAAGAGAATCAAAAGTATTTCTTGCTCAAAGACATCAGGTCCCAGCTATAACAATTAATCTATAAGCACACTGATAGTTGACAATAGGCAAACACGGCATTGATGATATTCTTGCCTGATGGGAAATGTTCCTAATGATATACAGCTTTAAAGTCCCTAGTCTCCGTTTGTACCAAAGAGATTCAGAAATCATTGCCTGTACCTATTCTATCAATTTATCATTCCATCGATGACTTCAGAATTATGCGAAGAGTCTACCTGGGTATTTTGTGTGAAGTTTGTAAATCATTCCCACATGGAGACATAGATCTAAATTATGTTTCAGAGATTCTTCCACTTTTAATTAAATTGTAAGTTTTGGATAAGTGTACACCCTATAACTGCCACTTGCAGATGGCAGACATGCTGTACATACGTTAAAATCAATGAAGCTTTGGTGACATCTATATGCATGCTTACATTGAACCAAGTACTTTCTGATATTAGTTGAAGCAAAGGCATATACTGCAAAGCAGGAAATGTTTAGTACATTGAAAGGGTTTCAAAATTTTTCAATACATACTTATGATAAAAGATATAATTAAACCTTAATAAATATGATCTGACAAGCTGCAACCTACCATGACTGAATAAAAAAGTCTCTATCTCAGATACTGTAGTTCCATAGTTAGAGGAGAAAATACAAATTGAGATGAAGTCAAACAGACACAGTGTGACAAATCTATGCTCATGGACATCTCCCCTAGAGGTTACAACTCATGTGGTCTAGACAAATAAGTTCTATTTCTGTTCATATACAAGTCGGCAATATGATTATTTGTATCAACAATTTTGCAACAACATTAAAACATGGAAACCGTCATCCATAATGAATGCGTTTCAGTCCTCCGGGGATTATTATATCTCGATACAAGAAAAATGTAATATCCTCTATCATTAGAAGATTTAAAATTCAGAAAAGCAGAACAACTTATTTTCAGTTGAAATGATGAATATTTGATACCAAACCTTTCCAGCTCTCTGGATGTGCTTAAATGGAAAAGCATTAAATGTCAGAAATAAAATTGCTGCCAAAAAGGACTTTTTGTTGGTAAAGTTATTTTGCTGAAGATCGAATCTAAGCAATATTAAAAACATGAAAAAGTTTCGAGTCTGAGCATGAGCAATGCTTGACAATTAACTCCTGCATTTAACAGAGTAAAAGCTTTTTGTTGCTTATAAATCCACTCAAGGCCCGGCTGGCCTTTAGATTACTTGCCAACATGCAACTCATAGAGATGGACATAATAATTTTATTTACAACAAACTTCATGTAAATTAATATGGGACACTACAAAATACTTCAATTAAGGATTATTTATATCTGTATTATAGGTACTGCATGCGGACTCAGCAAAGGATTAAGGGAAAGGCAACTATATATAAGCTCACTTTTCAGCCTCACATAACTAACGAACTATACTATAAATGTACATAAATTAGCACACTCAAATTTAGCATGATCTTCCTTATTAACTGATTAGCATAATGATAAATTAGC